AAGGTCAGGCAGAGAGGAATCAATTTGGGTTGGTAACACATTTGTACAGTGGAAGAAATGCTAGGACTCTCTCTTGTAATAGCTATCCTTAATCTCAACTAGCAAGAATTGCTTTGTCTTTCTTATTATGCTTATACTTTTCCCTTTCACAAAATTAAGAGATAAGGACGAACAGATTTCTGCCTGGAAGGGAAGGGGGGTGGGGGGGGATGGGGAAGGGACAGGGTAGGGGGGAGGAAAATGGCCCCAAAACAAATGTCTGCACATATGAATAAACGAATTAACAAAATGACACAAACCACACTGTAACTAAAAAGAAAAACCCTTTTCTGAGTTGGCATTTAGACAAGATGAAATAGTTTATATTCAAATATCAAAATGATACAGGATTGGAAGGTAATAAGGTCTCTTACTATTAGGCATACTAGAAAATCAGCTCCACTGATGTCAAATTTTATTTTCTTCAATATCTGCTTGTCTAGTGTTACTTGGGCTCTCTAAAAACACCAAAAAGAGCATAGCTTACATGAAATTTTTATTGGCTTTAATGATTATATATTTAAATAATATGAAATTTTATTCAAACATTGACTGTTTTCTCCATTGACCTCAGTTTTCTCTGTGCACACTGGTGACAAGTTCCCTGCAGAGATAAGAGGGGATACTTCTAACTAATTCTTACTGTTCCTCGTGAAGCAGGTAGACTCTGTTAAAAAAAAAAAGAAATCTCTTTTTTTTAAACCAAGCATTTGCTGGAAGTCAACTGAAAGCAAAAAAAAGGGGTGCTGGCATTGATAAAAATTTTAGAGAGGTTTAAATTTTTGCCTAACTGTCCTTACAAAAGACTATTTACAGGGTTCTATTCACCAAAAAATGAACTATTATCCCAATCTTATTAAATAATCCTTTCAATGTTATTTCTTCCTTTTATCAATTGTTGATCATGAAGTAACTCATTCCTTCTAATTAGTTGTGACAGGTGGTAGATTAATGCATTTTCACCTTGCACATCTACTTGGTATTTTTAGAAAGAAAACCTTTAAGCAAAGGGTAAAGTATACAATCAGGAATTTCTAGCCAACTGCCTCAAGACCAATGGAAAAATATTTTGGTAGAAAGTCTTCCCAGCTCCCCAAAAACATAAATTAAGAAAGGTGTGGCCAGAGTGGATCAAGTGGTAGAAGCACTGCTAGCCAAGCTTAGAGTTCTTGAGGTTCAACCCCCAATAAATAATTTAAAAAGAAAAAAAAAAGACAAAAGAAACATGAATTAAGAAACCTTCTCCTTTGTTTAAAGCCATTTCACATAAGATGCTGCAGATTCCCAAAAAATTGTGCTATGGAGTTGAACTAATCCTGACCTCATCATAACACATCTCCTCCACTTGAAGCACAACTCAAGTTTCTTTAAGGCTTTGTGGTCTTTTCTTCTGCTTCAATGTCCTTTGCTTCCTTCTGCAGAATTATGCCTGTATCACTCCTCCCTCTAATTAAATTCTTTACTCATCCTTTAGGAAATGTAATTTAAACACCACTTCCCCAGAAGAATTCTCTTAACTCCATGGTGTATCAGCTATGCCTTCATAAATTTCCCTCTCTTGGTACCTTGCCCCTTCTCCTTTATAACCTTAAGGTCCATTGTGCTGACTGGATTGAGGTGATCTATCTTTGTCTCTACTAAACTGTATGGAAGGAATATCTGTGCTATCTTGCTTATCAGATGACCCCAACTCCTAGCACAGAGGCTAATACTGCATTAGATATTGCTGTATCAAATACAACAGTATTTGATGTACGCTTTTAATAGTTACATGAGACAATTCTCACAGTGGTTAATGAATACTCATTGAACTAGAGACCTTATTGCAATCTGGAATTAGACTTGAAACAGCATTTAACAATGCCTATGTTTTGCAAAGTGCATAGGGCAAAGTTCTTTTTTTTAAAAAAAACAAACCAGCTATTAAGGTTCAATTTTCATGTCATAAAATTTTACCCGGTTTAAGTTTATTTTTCAGGATGTTTTCTAATTTGCTATGCAAGTATCACCACAGTTCAAACTTTAATTTTAATCATTCCTAAGAAAATCTCTCATGCCCATTTGCTGTCACTCTCCATCCCCATGAATCTACTTTCTAACATATTCAATATTAAAGACACAGCTGATAACATTTCTTACCTCTAGCAAATAGATTAGGAACGCAACCAAGACAGATGGAGGAAATAATACCATGATGATAATTATTGAAATTCTGTTGAAGTAAATGATGAAAACCATGTTGAATGAGATCAGATCACAAGACAAGTCCAAACACTGCATCAGACACCCTCGGCCACAGATATTTGAGAAAACAGCTGAGATGTAGGTATTATGTGTATATCGTAATTTCCCATATGCCAATATGCCTACCTGCCTTTTCAGAGCAATAAGGGAGGGCTTTATTTAGTAAGACTATGCATATTTAGCTTCCCAATAGAAAATTATTTTATTAACATGTATTAATTATACATAATATGTTCACTGTGACTTACCTTCCATCCTTTTCTTTATTTCCTTCCCTTCCCTCCCTCCCCTCTGCTACCTCCATTCTCCTTCCTGTTCCTTTTCGTGCTGGGGAATGAAAACAGAACCTGATGAATGCTAAGCACACACTCTCTACCACTGAGCTTTGCCTCCAGCAGTGTGATAGTTCCACACATGCTTACAGCACGTACAAATCAAATCCGGGTAATTAGCATTTTTCCTATACTTGTCATTTATGTTTAGAGCCTTTGAGTTTCTCTCTTAGAAAGCTTCATAAAAATATAATAATTTTTTGTGAACTATAGTCATCCTACTGTGATTTTTTTTCTACCTAACTGTGTTTGGGTACATTCATCCAACCTCTCTATATCAGCACTCCCTCTCCCACTTTCCGAACTTCTAGTAATCACTACTGCACAGTCACACTGCTTTTTTTAGTTTCCATATATGAGAAAGAACAGGTAGTATTTCTCTTCTTGTGTCTGGCTTATTTCACTCAACATCATGTCCTCCAGTTTCATCGATTTTGCCCATTTATTGATGGATTATTTGTCCTTTGTGTATTAAATTTTTGAGTTTTTTTATATATTCTGGATATTAATCCCCTATTAGATTACTATCTGGTAAAGATTTTTTCCCCTTCAGTATGCTATCTGTTTATTCTAGTAATCATTTCCTTTGCTGTGCAGGTTTTTAATTAGATGCAATTTCACTTATCAATTTTTTTTTTCACTTGTCAATTCTTGAGCTATTGGAGTCTTATTCAGAAAGTCAGTACCTGGGCCTATATCTTGGGAAGCATTTTCCAGTTTTCCTCCAGTAGTTTCAAAGTTTTAAATCTAACACTGCATTTTTGATCCAATTTTAATTGATTTTTGTACAGAATGACAGATAGGGATTTAGTGGTTTCTCTAGGACTTCATCATAAAGGGATGTTCAATTTTATCAATCTGTTGAAATGATCGTGTGATTTTTTTTCCTGGATTCTACTTATGTGATAGCGATATTTTTTCCTCCTTTCTTATCCATTAGACTAGGAAAGGATTGTGAATTCTGAGGGCATCAAACGGTAGTCTAGGAATCTGTGTGCTAATCCTTCACTATGGAGCACAACAGGCTTGGTCCTTCCTTATCAGATGAAGGTCTAAGATATTCATGAAGCACCATGTCCTTGAGGATACAGGATCCTATTGGACTCTAGAAATGAATTAACTATTGACCTTGGCTGCACTCAAATAATGGAAAGACATTGCCCACACTATCCAAATGTATCCTAGGTCACACAGACAAACGCACTAACTGTTAGTTTATGAGGTTTTCTGACACATGATCCCATGAGGAATGGGAAATTACCTCAGTCAGAAGAATAGCATGGTTTAAGTGCATACTAATTGCATGATAAAAGACAAACACACACAAACATTCCCCAATGCATATTAATAATGAAGTTATGAGTTATTTGCATCGGGCAAAATACAGTTACTACAAACTGCTTGACGTCTTTTGTAATTTTGAAACTTGTTTAGCCTAGTAAAATCAGTGTGTATTGATGGGCACAAGTTTTGATTCAATATTATCAACAATGCTACTATCATACTTTTGACATAAGGAATGACATTAGACCTGGGTTGTCAAATTTATTCTGAGTCTGTCACTAAGTCTTGTGTGACCTTGATGAAGTTACTTAATTATTTTCTTCTATAAAGTTAGGTGAATTATAGTAGATGATCTTTGATCTTTTGATCTTTATTTTTTCAAGTCTGATATTACACCATTCTGTAACTAGGTATATATATATATATATATATAGAGAGAGAGAGAGAGAGAGAGAGAGAGAGAGAGATTGAGAGAGAGAGAGAGAGAGAGAATATCTGTGTGTGTGTGTATGTGTGTGCATATGTGAAATAGATACTTTGGGGTGGGATTCATTATGTCTAAATACAAAATTCATAATTCATATATGTTTTAGATACACTTTATAAATAAATGGATTTAAATGGTCCACTGGGAATGGTGAGTAAATTGTGCTATATACCTGCATTTGACTGCTACTCATCATATGAGGTCAGGTATGAAATTTTCCAATTGATGTTATCAAGTAGTTATTAAGTCAGCTCTCAAAAATTTTTGACTTTTGCATTTTAGATTTTTGGATTCAATCTGTATTATTAATTTTTCCCACTGTTCAAGGCAAAGGTGACTATATTTAACATTTCATTGAAAGTTTATAATAACTATCTCTCTATTGTCTATAGATGTGTGTACTTACCATATAGAAAGCAAATGACCAGAGGCTACTGTTTTTTCTCCTCTTGCAAAAAATAATGATATCACATATGTGAAGAAGATAAGAGAAATTGCAAAACCAAGTGAAGTAACAATCTAAAAATAATACAAATAGTAGCATAGTCAAAAAATTAAATACTACCTGAGGGAAATTATAAATTACAAATTTTTGATTGTACATGTACTTTGCATGTTTTATGGTTTACAATGACATCATCACAATTACATAAAACAGTAACATTAAATTTATTTTTAGTTACTTTATAAAATTTGTCCTTTGTAATGTGTTACTTACTGTAGCAAGCACAATTCGACTTGTAAGGTCAATGTCCATTATCTTTGTTATGTAGAAGATTAAATACGTTGAAAGGAGAATTAAACTGTAGAGGTTAATATCCACTATTGCTTGCCCACACCAGTAAGCAGAAGGATAGAGGCCTGAAATCCATAGCTGGATATCAGCTTTCTTCTGATGAAAAAACACAGGATGTACATTGATGCAATTAAAATGAAAATCCCAAAGTAAAACACATTGAAAGAATTTTTAAGATAACTGTAATCCAATCTTCTGAAGCTATTTTTTATTATTTACTTATTTTTATTCATATGTGCATACAATGTTTGGGTCATTTCTCCCCCCTCCCCCCCCTTACCCCCTCCCTGCCCTCCTCTCCCCTCACCCCCTCACTACCTGGCACAAACTATTTTGCCCTCATCTCTAATTTTGTTCTGAAGCTATTAAAAATAATTATACATGTACTCTTTAGGATCCTGAGGTCTATAATTCCAGTTCCATAAAGTTGGTCATTTTTTTGAAAAGAGTATATTATTTAATTTGGTAGATAGGATTCACAATACCACTTTAATTCATGAATAATGAATAAAAAAGTAGACCTCATAATATCAAAGCAGTAAGTTCCTTCAAAAGAAGTGCCACTGTATGACCTGAAGGACATAGTAAATTCATTTGTCTATACATCTCTTTGGAGAGTTACTGGCTCAGGATGGTGAAAGCAGACTTATCTAAATCTGATTTTCATTTTCATTTGGATAATGAGCATAAATAAACACAAATATAAAATTTCCATCTCCAAAGCACAAGGAAAATCCAAGTCTTAAATTTGGTCTTCAATTTGAACATTAATGATTTCCTTCTTGTAGTTAGGAAATAATGCAATTAAAAGATGTATATTATTCTCCTTTGCAAATTTAGACTAATTTGAGTCACTTAAAAAAATTCATTTTATTTCCCTGTAACTTTGAAGTAAACAGTTGCTTTTTATTTATTTATTTTGAGACAGGGTCTCACTATATAGCTCCCACTGTCCTTGAATTCACAATGTAGCCCAGGTAGGCCTAGAAGTCTCGGAACTCCTGCCTCTGAGTGCTGTGATCACAGGTATAATCCTGCACAATCCCCATGTGTCAGCATGCCTGGTATATTTTGCATTTTTTAAAAAGCAAGTTTTCTGACTTTCTAGAAATAATGCTTAACTACATCATCTAAATGAAATATATATTTCAGTGTGAAAACATTTTGAACACAGCATTAAAAATACAATTATTGAAAGTCTTGTCTTACTTTATAATCACTGGTAGAAGTCATGGCAATGTAAGGAGAAATGCTGCACACAATAAAAAATAAGAAAAAGGAACCTTCTGGCAGCCCGATCCATATCATTACATGGTTCTGCAATATAAAAAGCACTTTAAGCTAGTGAACATTTTTAATGAAATATATGCTAACAATCATAGATAATACACTTTTTGAAATGCTGAAAATCAAAGTATAGGTCTAGTTCAGCATCATGAATGTTGGAGAAATGATTTCTTATCACTTAATTTAGGCTTCAACTAAAAGGAAAAAGAGATGTCAAAAATAATTCAGAACCTGCTTTTTATTATATATCCTAAAGACCCGACAGCAGGGTTTAGTTTTTGGGTTTTTTTTGGGGGGGGTGTGTTTGGTGGGGGCCGGGGGGAACCTGGGTTTGAATCACACAACTTCCCTCTTGTGTGAATATAATTAACACTAACAAATTAAACACTTAAAATGGTCAAGGTAGTCAATTTTATGTTATATGTTTAATCATAATATAAGACGATAATAATTCAAGAGTTGTGACCTTTGGTTAACTGATAATTCAAGTTTGTGTAGCATGTCTTCCTTGAAGACCTTGGCAACTGCGAGGTCTTCTGTAGCACAAAGCTATAAAGGATATTTGATGCCACTAATCCCATCTTCAAGAAGATAAAATTCAAATCTCTACTCCCAAATGCATGCCTGCCTACAGCTGGGTCCAAGCAATGTACAGGACTATCTCACAGATATAATAATAAGAGAGCAAAGTAAACCTGTCTCACAACAATTATGCAATTCCCAAACTTTATTTAAAGTTTTAGAATCTATGTCTATAAGTTCCAATTTTTCTCCAGGTGGGAAAATGCTTAGATTTCTATGATGATGTGTACTACTGGAAGTTGGCCATCCCCAAGAGATAAATCACAGAGACTGGATCCATTTTGATCCTAATCAAAAAATGAAATGAAGACACTAAAGTGATGAGGAAGTAACAACTGTGCCTTCCTGCTGGTTCTATTCTTTTTCTTGTGGTGCTGGGGATCAAACTCAAGACCTTGTGTGTGCTAGGCAAGCACTCTATCTCTGATCTACATCCCCAGCCCTTGGTTTCACTTTCTGAAGAGTTCTGTTCAGATACCACTACCTTGAACCATCTTATGTTGATCCCAGAGTCAGTCATACTTCAATTCACAGATGCATATATCCAGCACTGACCTTTCAAGTATATTCCATCCCCATTTTCTCCATTGTCCTCAGAAAATCTGCACTTGCGTGTACTCCATGCACTACTGATTCAATGAAGCCAAAACTGAATTTGGCACCTTTGTCATAAAATGGGCTTCCCTTTAGACTTGTCCATTTGTAATCCTGCTTATTGCTCTTACAAATTTCTGATGTTGAAATAAGTTTTGAGAGGTCCTTCTTGGTATCAACCAGAAAACCATAATCCCCTTAAATACTTCAAATAGAAAGAAATTAATCGTGAAGTGGTTGCATGGATGACGATCATCCAACAAGGATGATGAAAAGTGAAGTCATTGTCATTCCCAGGCTGAAGGGACAAAAGAAGGAGGTGATGTAACTGGAACCCAGTGTGGCAGGTGTCTCTGTTCTTGTATCTCCCACCAGTGCTTCTTCTTGCCTAAACCGTCTACAGCCAGACCCAGAACATGCAGCCTCTGCATATCAGACACCCTTGCAACACAGAAGAACTCTGGGTAAGTGAAATAATGAATCAGAGAGAATACAGTTAGGACTGGCAAATTCTCCTTCATATTAGTCAATTTACTATCCATTTAGTCAGTGGAGATTTCACTGACAAATTATATTTAGTTTCTAAGAGTCTAAAGCAGGATCACAGATGCTCCAGATTTCCAATTCAGTGTTTCTTCTGTCTCTGTTTCTCTTTCTCTAATGCTTTTCTGTAATCAAGTATGTATCTACAACTTTTCAGAAAATTCCCTATGAAACGATAACCAACTATTTAAAAGTATGAAACCATGATTTCTGATAACTTAGCAAGAACAAAACATATTTTGTTAGATACAACTTGCTTAAAATATTAGGACACAATAATAATCTTCAGAATCAACTATCAATTATCAGTATTTAAAAGCTAAAGAGGACAAGTATAAGTTACTTATCAATTCCTGTTTTGCTTTTTCTTGGCATGATGGGGATTGAACTCAGGTCCTCACCCTTGATGGGAAGGTTCTCACCCTTGCCGGGAAGGTCCTCACCCTTGCTGGGAAGGTCCTCTACCACTTGATCTATGACTCCAGCCCTTTTTGGCTTTAGTTATTTTTTGGATATGGTCTCCTGCTTTTCCTAGGGCCAGCCCTGGACAGTGACTCTCCTCCCTATGTCTCTCATGTAGTTCAGATCACAGGAGAGCACCACCACTACCCAGCTTCTTTGTTGAGATGGTGTCTTGCTAACATTTTGCCTGGGCCATCCTTGAACCACAGTCTCCCAGTTTCTGCCTCCTGGGTAGTTGAGATACAGGTATAAGTTAACATGCTGGGCATCAAATTCTTAATTGCTCAGAATCAATATATCCTCTACTTACCAAAAAAAACTGACTTCTCTCAATTCGAATATGTTGTGTATAATTAAGCATATAAAGTAGCCCATTGCTGATGATATTCATCAGGACAGGAAAACAGTGTAGCCTCTTAGTGTTGCATACAACTGAAAATCTATAATCCTTAAAACAAACAAAAACAAATAAATAAGGTTAGCTCTAAATTCTTGAAAAACAGAGGAAAAGTTTCTATATAAAACAGTACCACACTCCACCTGAATTTTCTGAGCTTTAGTTTCCCCATCTATGAAAGAGGACACTAAAAAGGTTGTTACACGGTTTAAATGAGATTATATGTGTTAGGCTTTTGGACAGTGGATAGTACAGAATCAGCATCCCCTTCATTACAAGTTTTTACTAGTATTTATAATTTAATATCATTTTGCCCCTGTTCTGCTCTTGAGAAAATTTGTCAGTGGAGTTTAAAAGTTGCCCCAACAAAGAGACACAGTTAATGGTGTGCATACAAAGAAGGGTGATCATCTAGACAGCAGATAAACATGAAATTGGTAAGTTATTCATGGGTACACTTGCAATGAAGTCTTTTCAAGTTCCTAAGGCAATGTTTATACTTCATGTTTATAAAATGTTCATGTGTTCATCAAGAAGTTCAATGTTGCTCAAATATTGCCAGCAGTTCACATAGCAAGTATGTAAGATTTTAAAACGCAGTTGCCAAACTAAGTAGTTTCCTGATATTTGTACAATGTGATTACATTTTCATAATGTGTTTAGATTAGGTAGGACTGAGTTCAGTGTTATATCTTCAAAAGCTTCTGTTTTTATTTCCCTTGTAGAAAGAAATAAAGATATAGTTTCCTTTGACTTGGTCCTTACTTTTACTGGAATGCGGTTGTGTTGTCTGTTCCTTGATGAATTTCTATAGCTTGTATGCTTTACCCAAATTAAAACGTGTTCAATTAGTATATCTAGAATAATTTTCTCCCAGAATATTCTTGCAGATTTTGTAGTATTTAAGGTATTTTCTCAATATATGAAAACATCATTCAGGTAGCTAACTACAAAATAGGATTCCTTAATTTCATAATTACATTGGTTGATAATTATATGCTGTAATATTTTAACTGTCTGAACAATACAAATAAATTTCATTCCTTTCAAATATAAGAAAATTAGCTAATTCAAAACAAGGACAGAATGTTTTTCACAGAAAATGTAAACTTCACCGTTCTTTTTAATATGGAGTCAAAATGTTTTTCAGATTTAAATGGCTTATACCAGATTGGTTGACTTTCTCCAACTTTTCAGTTAAAATGTTGCACTTTCTTACCATGTGTAGGTGTGTGTGTGTGTTTTCATAAAAACAAAACTCAAGAGGCAAACATACCTTTTGTTTACCAGAAACTATGATAGCTCCATTATATGAGAGACCTTCAGTGCCATTTCTGTTTGCAAAGTCATCAACTTCCAAAAGTATATTTTGATGCTTCAATGATTGTATAAAATCTTCAATATTTGATTCTAATACAAAGTCAATAACAGAAAGCCATATAAAAGCAAGAAAATACATGTTACATGTTTTCTAATGAGCCCTATACAATATTATTTAAAGTTGATATCTATAGCCTATCTCATGAAGGCATGTTTCTATATGGACATTGGCTCATGAAACAGGAATTACTCAGTCCAATTTTCTATTCAGCAAATCTTATGGTATGATGCATTACCTTTATAATCATGTGTAATGTAAGTTAGCATGTGATAGTTAAAACAAGGTAATTCTACCTTAGACTTTTATTTAAAAATACAACTGAACTGGTAATTCATGGAGAGATAATTATTATATGAGAAGTATTTCACTTTGTCCAGTCTGGTGATAGTAGCCTCCTTTCCCCTTTATTCTTTGAAATAATGGATAATCAAATATTTAAGTACATATGGGTTATACATAAATATATTTCCTTCATTTTATGTTTGTACATCTGTTACTTACATGCATACTACATAAATACATTTCTCTTAGGAAATAGAAAATGAAAAGAGTGTCAAAATTTTTGGCATCAGATCAAAAATTTTTATATATCCCTAAAGTAGAAGGCAGAAAGGATTATTTGAGAGAGAAATAAAAGCTGAGAAAAACCCATAGCCTACTGCACACAGGAGCAAAAACTGCAAAGATAAAACAATTTTCAGAATATCACAACTAAGAGTAGATGAATGTAAGGAGGCAAAGTGGACTCTGAAGCACAGTCAGGGTCATTATCCAGTTAGCTATACCTGGAACAAGGTGACCAACAAAGCCCCTCTCCATGTTCTACCTAGAGCATCCATAGCAGCTGCTGTCTCTAGGGGAAGAGTCCAATTTTTAATTTGTATGAGAGACATTACCTGACAAGACCAGCAGGGCAAGACCTGCAGTAGTTCCAGACAACAATCAGGAAAAGAGACTGTAAAAAAGGAAAAGAAGAACTCTCTCTCTCTCCCTTCCTCTCCCTCTATCTCATTTAGCCTTTGAAATGGGAGTTCATACTGGGGGTGCGGACGGTGATCTCTGGAATTGGATAAAGAGAGCCAAAACTTCAGACAAATTACAATTCCCCCAACCCTAGATGGGATGGGACATACACATAGAAAATAAGCCTTCCATGTATCCCACTCCATATCAACATTAGACATAATAATGGAGGCTTACAAGCACCCATCTAAATAGGAATTCTCACATGAAAAACGAACATGCTACCAACAATCATCAGATTTTGAGAAAAGAGGAAGAAGACTATACAGAATCTCCAAACTTATATCACCAAATACCTGACAGTTGAAGAGAAGAAAAAAATAGGTTAAACGAGTGACTATAAGTATACTGTCCTCAGAGTGACTGGAAAGGAAAAACTATGAGACAATAATAACAAGCTGATAGGTAAAGAAAAAATTCTAGATCATGGACGTTAAAGTATAGTTAGCAAGATGTTCACTTTAAGGAAGCAGGGAATTCACTTTCCAAAAACCAAATGGAAAACAAGAACAAAAAACTGAAGTAAAAAGATCCTGTTTGCTAAAGAGAAAACATCTACAAGCCTGAATCTCAAATAGGTGTGAAATTGGGAAGGGCAAATAACTAATCAAAGGAGGGCTCACATTCTGAATTTTTTAAACATCTTAGGTAGAAACATAAAAGCTTCTCCTTCAAGTTAATTTAGTAGTTAGAAAACAACCAATTACCCTTTCTTCAAGATAACAAGTTAGGGAGCCTTTCTGAATCCTGCTGTTGCTTCATGGAGACATGAAGGAGGCATGTAGACATGCCATCTGTACATGTAATTCAGTGTGTATCATACTTACGATGTCAGTTAGGCTGCTGTTACAGAGAGATCTAAAAACAGAATGGCTGAGTCAAGACAGAAGTTGATTTCTCTCTCATTAAAGAACTTAGGGTTGTCAGGTAGACAGAGGCAGCTCTACAGAACCAGACAGTGTAGTGACCTAGGTTCTTTCTCTCTTATCCCCACCATGCCCATCATTTTCAAAATCAAAGCAAGTATGCACTGTTTCTCATAAATTGTTTTCTATAAATGCATGTTTTTCTTCTCTCTTATCTTATTTTCCCCAGTACATGTGATATTTAGCAATAAAAATAGTTTATTTCTGGATTTAATTTTGTTTTTCTGTTCACCTGTGTTATTGATGATCAATAGGCTGGTGCGGGGATCCTGAGGAAGTTGTCCAGGAGACAAGAAATACAATTCTGCCTTAAATTCCCAATCGGAATTTTGATGTAACATAGTATATATTATATGTTCCAAAGTCAAAGGGAATAATGCAATTCCAAATATCAACAGCCTAAATAGTAGAGAAAATTTTACCACATAAATCTATAGCAACTTTATTTCTTTAGTAAGAAATTCCACAACTATTTGTTGAGTGTCAAATCTATTCTATACAAAGTATGATTCTAGGGGCTAAGATTCTGAAAATTATATATCAGCATGCTACACAGGATGAAAATGAATTGCTATACAAACATCAGATTTTCAAACTATGAAAACTAAGCTTAATCAAGAGCTAACACGCAGGTATTCCTACTATCAGTAAAGTCAAATGCTACACTTACATGTCCTCTGGCAGGAATGCTGGGATTGTGTTCTACTTTTACCTTCTCTTTCTATTTGGGCCTCCTTTTAAAACTCATTATCTAACAAAATCCGAATGATCTCATACTTACAGAGTCAGAAGTACTTTTCTCCCTCGTTTTAACTTTAGGAAACGGAGCCGTGCTATTGCACAGACCTGCATTATCCAGAGGCCCATGTCACTCACAGCCTTTTGCAGTTCAGGAAAGGAAGGGTAAGCTGACTCCGTTCCATTTAGGCTTTCTGAGTTTCTTCTCAATTCTGATTGTTCAAAGTCTACACATGCATGCAAACACAATTATTAATACCATTCTGGGGGAGCACAGTTTTATTCTTCTTAAAAATATTTTTTAAAATTTTACATTTGATTTTATTTTTATAACTAGGTTCAAAGGAATTATTTAAATAACATTTTTCAATATTTATTAAGTTTATGCATTATTGCTGCCTTCAATATTTTCTTTCCATAGTAACTTTTTATAATTGTTGATGGTGATTGTATATTAGTATAAAAATGTGTTGGCATGTTTTTGGTTACAATGCAAACAATATAAGGAACATATAATAATGTCCAACTTTTATAAACTTAGTGAGATAATATACTAAATTCATACCAAAAGTAGAATTCAGAAAAAGGGTGATTTAGTTATGCACAGTCTTTGTAAACACAGTCTCAAATGTAACAATATTCTAAGAGATTTCAAAAAACATCTTTACAAGGATGGGTAGCCAATCACTGCTTAAACAACTACCACTATTGTAGCAAAAATACAGTATTGTAGGGGAAAGAGCCCTGAAAATGCCAGACCTATACAAGAATCCCCCTTATATGACCTCAGCCCTCATCTCCGTGATTAAGAACTTTCACAGCTTCAAAGTATCCAAGAAGCAGTGAGCATCTGGAAATAGGAGAAAACTGCTGGAATAGGAAGTAGATACTTTCCAAGGAGGAATTTAGTAGATTCCAAGAAGGGATTGTGTTTAGTCCTACTGATAATGTTAGAAATAGTAACAGCCAATCTCAAACAGAAGACCTCAAAGAATGAGTCACATTCCTTAGACTCATGCGTAAGAAAATATAAATACTATTTGATATGTGATCATTTGTAAATTTATTTATATAAGTTATACAGATTGTTATACCTTGTTTGATAGTTGATTCTCTGTCCAAGTTCATAAAGACTTCATTCAGGTTTGACATGGAGATGTCATAACTGATCATACCCTGGTCAGAATATGTATCCAGATCACTGAAGAGGTCTAAGATAACAGAAAGGAGGATATACATTTGAAAAACAACATCATTAACTAATCCTAGTAAATAAAAACTTATCTAAAAGGTACATAATACTGTTTAGGAAACATGTCTTTGGAATATCACAGTAATTAAAATAAAATTTTCATTAGCATGTTTTCATTCTAAAATGACTATGTCACACTTCTTTAAACTGTCATACTTCATCTTTTATTTTTATCTCACAAATTCCCTACAGGCCTCCCTGAGGAAATCTGAGCAATCAGAAACACCATCATCCCCTCATCTCCACTCTTACAATCGATGTATGCTGACTTCTGTCCATATTCTTCCTTCTGTGTGGATGGAACACTTGCAGCTGTTCTATAAGCCTACCCCTTTCACTTATGTTCTGAATTTCACCCCCTGTCAGCATTTCAAATACTTCCCAAAGTGGTCTTCTCTGTCTCCTCCATCATCAATTTCTTCTACAAATACTGGGTCATCCCAAACAACAGACAAAAATATTATAATACCCATTAAGCAAAGACAAATAGTAACAATAAAACATAATCGCATCCTCCCATCTCCCTCCACATACATGCATGACTCCAAAGATTTGCTGCCTTTAATTTGTCACATTTTACTCCTCATAACCCCCACAAGTTCAAATGCTATTTATATCCCTTCACAGAAATCGTATTTTTCCCCAGGTCACCAATAACTTCGTATTTTCAAATTCAATGAGCAAGTCTTTGTTTTAACTCGGTGACATTGAAAGTTCATTTGGCCTGTGGCTGTATCTCAGTGGTGGAACACTTCCCTAGCATGTCCACAGCCCTGGGTTTGAGCCTCATCATCACAAAGAAAAAAAGAGTTCACGAGTCTCACTTTCTAGAAACATTTTCTCCCTTGATTATGAACACATTGTCTTATTCTTCCTCTAACTGCATTCAGAAATTTATTCCCTTCTGTCTTCCCTCTGCTTTCCTCCAAAGTTTCAGCCCTAGACCTTCTCCTTCCATAAACAAATACAGCCCCTAATCCATCTATATGCTGAAGTTTCCCAAATTCAAATCTCATTTCTTCTTTGATTTCTAACGTTCTATATCCAACTATACACTTGACCATTTACCATTTCCACTGGAAATTCAAAAGGCATCTCCCAGATTAACATTCTCAAAATAGAGCATTGATTCCTCCTTCCCCATCTGTCCCAACTCTTCTACCCATTCTTCATAAGTACTACTGTTTTTCACCCAGTGCTCTAATCCAGACCATTAGAGCTCCCTCTTGACCCCTTTCACATTCCACATGTTTCCATCAGCCAGACCTTTCAGCTTTATTTCCAAATACACTTCAAAGACACTCAGTTCCATCTATCTTTACTGGAAGCATGGTAGCCCAGTCATCATCTCATCTTTACTTGAGCCTCTGAAATGGCCCCACAGCGAGGATCCCAGTGTCTATTCTTGTTCTCCTATACCCAGAGTGAGTGTCTTTATCCAAAGAATGAAAATACAAATCTCATCAAATCAACTTCCTGTTCAATGTCTTTCAGTGCCTTCTCAATGCATTTAGGAGAGATCAGAGTCAATACCAAAGCTTCTAAGGCTCCATAAGAGTCATTCTCCATCTACCAATATAACCTTACCTACCCCTATTCACCATTCTGTGCTCTCACAACTACCCTCCATGCATGCCTTTTCTCCTCTACTTGAGGATGTTTGACCATTTTCTTCTTGTGGCCTTCTAGGACTGCTCTATCTAAACCCTAGCCTTACAACAGTCTTTACCTCATGTGGCTTTGTTTATATTTTTTGTCAAACAATATAGTAAATTGTATTTGTTCACTTTTCCTCACCTAGTTGAACATATGTTCCATAAGAGTGGTTTGAACTCAGGGCCTTGCACTTGCTAGGCAATCCCTATAACACTTGAGCCATGTGTCTAGCTCTTTTTGCTTTAGTTATTTTCACATAGGCCTAGACTGGCCTTGGATTGAGATCCTCCCACCTCCCTCCTGTGTAGCTGTGATTACTGGCTTACACTAACACAACCAGCTTATTATTTGAGACAAGGTCTGAGTAAGTTTTTGCCCAGGCTTGCCTTGAACCACCTGACAATTAGCTGGAATTATAGACAAGAGCCACTGCACCCATTCTTCATATGCTTAATTTAATGCTATTTTTCTAGTACTTGAAGCAATGTCTTTAATATAATGGATTTTCAATAAACATTTATTAGTTATCTTTTTCCTGGATGAGGATGTAAGCCTCTGGTGAAAACTTTCAAATGCCACTTTTAATACAGGAGAAGGGTGATGGGCCAGCATCATTACTGAGCAGAACTAAGTGAGGTTGTAGCAAGCACTGTGTTTTGCTATGACATGCATACAGCATTCAAGAAACCTGGAATCTCATGTCCGGGAATGGACCTAGGCATGCCATTAAGACTAGCAGAACCCTGGAGTCTGTGTAAAGAGCCTTCTATGAACTGGGACATAAATACCAGAGACTCTGACTAAGCAGTATACCTTACTGGCAGTACCAGTATATAACCACCTATCATCCTTGTCTGATCAGTAAAAGAAGCTGGGGCAGTTGTACATCATTGGGTGGGGCCTTAGTCCAAGAACAGAAAAACATAGTCAACTGATGCCATCTTCCAGGCTGGTACAAGGATAGAAAGCTGCCATACTTGGGAATGGGGCTAAAATCTGAATTCCTGAGTTTTTTGCTGAATGAGACTAAATCATCCAAAAGAGTTATTTAAACTGAGAGTATAGATAGTTAAACATTTAGTAAGTTAAATGTTTAAATAAAAGGAAACTACTTAAAACAGGAGATACTGGAATATATTTCCTCATTTGTAAGAAAAAGAAAATTATAACATCCATCTAATAGAACAGTTCTGAGTATTAAATGAGTTGATATATATATGTCAGAATAGTGCCTGACACATAATTTGCATTATACAAAGAGTTAGTGATTTTTTGGGTTACTTATTAAACAACTCCTATGTTGGTATTGCTACTGAGAAGGCTGACTAAACATGTTGAACACTTATAAAATAAATAAGCTGTTTCTCTCTGTGAAATAAATACACACATAATTAAATTAAAATACGAAAAGAAACCCATAATAGAAACCTTGATGCCCCACTTTTATCTCTTCTGTACTCACCTAAGCATAATAAATCTGCTTATTAAAAATATGTATATGCCTGAGATTCTTTTTTCTAGCCTTAGAAGTATGCTAAACTCATGTTCAGAGCAAGCCCAAGGGCCAGAAAGTTAATGTCCCTGAAAATGTCTCTAATCTAATGATGGACATAGAACAGGGAGCAAGCACTGCCTTTACCATGCCTCTAGTAGTACAACTCTGGGCACACTTCTTCCTTTATTTCTCTCAGTGCTTTTGTACTTCAATTGCCTATCAGAGTAATCTGCTCGATAATACAAACTTCCTGGCTTCCTTCCCTCCCTTTCTTACTCCTTCATTCCCAGATGGGATTCCAGGGGTTCAACTACCAAATAAATTCACTGCACTCAAGTCTTCACCTCAATTTCTGTTTCTCAGATAATTTAACCTAACACAACATTTGAATCCATTAAATAACAAAAGATTAATGTGAAGATATATGGTGGATGGACTTCATATACTTATATGAAATAGAACAAAGAAACCTCTTGCAATTGCTTTAAGATGGTGGGAATGATCTAACCAATGTACAATATAAACTGATTTGGAATTTTCACATGAATCCCTCCTGCACAAAGATTATATCCTAAAAAAAATAATAATAATGATGATGATGATGATGATGTGAACATTTGTTCTCAGATTTCCTTCCATTATAGTCATATGAAGATTACCTGGAAATTTATTTGTCCTTTCCAAAGGCAAAGTATACACAAGCTTTTCTTTGTTTTCTGTTTTTAATTTGGCATCAGGGATGTGATGATTAATGAAGGATGTAATTTGCTCTTGATCACATGTTTCATTCCTATATAAACTAATATTTAAAAGAAAAAAGAAGTAATTGTACTTTCTCCACTGCTACTACAAGAGAATTTTTAATTGAATAATTAGCCTTTGAGGCACTATTTCACTTGGCTTTATAAAACACAAAAAAATTAGTAAATAATTACAGTTTGAAAATCTTATCATCCATACATAGAAGATGGATAAACTCAGAATACCTGAAAATGCACAAATAAATATTCATAGTATTTAAAACTATGTACCATGTATGAAGATAAAAGATAGTAGAGACTTCTTAGGGAAAATTATTATTAAATCTGACAAGTGTAGCTATTAGAAATTATTAGGTAATACAGAAATGTGGTCCACATCCATGTTTTGTTTAGTCATAGTTTTGGTTTATTTCTTAAATCTCTTTCAGTCTATACATACAGCATCTTGTTGGACACAGTTCTCACAACTCTTTGCCTCCACATTTACTCCCTATTGGTACTGGCTTCTGAAAATATTTGCCTTTGAGCCTTCTGAAAGAATGAAAATATATTATACAATTATGTGGATCAGCTGAATAAAAAGCCTACCACCTTCACAGAAGTTTAGGCTGCATCTGGAAAAGTGGTACATTAAGTAGCCCCATGGTGAATAGACAGCCTCAGTTCATACTGTTGACACTTTGCTCATCCTTAGCATTAATGAATATACAAAGAGGCAAGACAATGGGCAAAGTGTCTAGAAAGCACTTATCGATCCAATACAGCAGAGGTAAAGCATGAAACCAGTTCTCTTTTATAATTGCCCACCTTTTTGTTGTACCAGTATTGAAAATGTATATATCTAGTCTTTTCCCAAGTTCTTTACCTTAAGTGATATCCAAGACCCCACTTTCTCTTCAAAAAAGCAGAAGAGCCTGCACATTTCAGTCTCCCACTGGACATGATCATTTTCCTATCTGAGAAAAAGAATCATGTCAGAAATGACATTAGCAGAGTCAGTTCTTCTCTCTTTAAAATACAGATGAGAAATAGAAACTCAGAATTCCAAAAAATTGTTCTAGTGGCATAACTACAAATACTACACATTTGAAATTTGACACATACATCGAAATAGATGTGTTCTGAGCTCATCAACACAAAGCTATTTCAGCACCCTCCAATCCTTCCCGAGAGAGAAAAAAAATCACAAATTACATATAAGTATATTTTTCATTCTGGATGCTAAAGAATGGGTAGATAATTTTCAAACAAATATTTATTAAAGAAGATGTGGACGTTAAAATGATGGATGATCTGAAAAAAATCACAATTTTCATTAGTGGTCACAGCCTTGCAAATGTAAAATCAGCAAGGAACTCCATAGTAGGAGCAGATTCTTGCCATCTGCTAGACTGCTATGGATAATAGGCATACCAAGGTAAGGAGCGCAAGGCTCTTACATCTAAAACTCCCAAATTTTTCATTGTGACACTGAGATTAAACCAACAATTACCAGCTAGCATGTCAGCCTCATCCACAAACTGGGTACTGAAGAGGATCACATGATTTGCTCTACGTTCCTTCAGGAAGCTCCACACTTGCTGCCTTGAAAATGGATCCAACCCAGCAGTTGGTTCATCCAAGAGCAAAACCTACAAAGGATGAAGATGAGAAAAATATGACTCTCTTCCAAGTTAACTATTTCCACATAATAGCATTGAAAATAATAAATAAAAGCCAATAAATAAATAAATATGCAATCATATCCAATGTACCTATTCATGGTTAAGCATATCAGGCTCTCTCTTGATACACTGCAATGGAAGCTCTACCACTTTTAGTAGTAAAGAATTTGACTTTTTATTGAGAATTTGCTGTCCTCCACATACATAATCTTACTTACTTGAGGATCTCCTAAAATGGCAATACCAAAGGTCAGCTTTCTTTTCTGTCCTTCACTTAAATATCCAGCAAGGTTATCCTGAATATTTTGCATGTCCAATTCCAATAAAATTTGTTGTACCTATACAAGAAAATATATAAAGCTTAAAATATAAACTTATTCATATTTATATAATATAACAGCTATAAAACAAATACTTTATAGGACTTCCTTGCCTATATTTTATTCATAATGAGGCAGATAAATCACTGAAGAAAATTATGTGGTCAAGATTTAATTTAGTAAATGTTCGTAGTTCAATGGATCCAAACATGCCCACCTACCTCTTGTTCCACTTCCTGTGGATGAATCCCTTTTATGTTAGCAAACAGGCTGAGGTTTTCCTTCACAGTGAGTGTGTCAAACTGAATATTATACTGAGGACAAACACCAGTTATCTTTCTGATTTCCTCCAAATCTTTCATTTCAGAGACATTTTTGTTATAGATGGTGACTGATCCTAAGAATAGAAGTTAGGAATAATTTAATGCTTGCAAGATCATATATTTTATTAACATTTGGGGCTCTTATTCAAGAAAATATTGGGATATATTCATAAGAATCTAAAATATGAGTTCATAATTTGTTAGCAACTACTAAATACTATTAATACATATTTATAGTAGTATACATTTCCTCTGAAATATCACACAATGGAATAAAGATGATTTTCAAGAAATTGGGGATGTAGGAACTATATTCAAAATCATATAGTTTTGGAAAACAACTTTTGATAAACATTATGTCTCTGAGGCCATAAAATTTAAAATATATGAGCATGTTCTCTTACCATATATCTTGCCTTTGAGAAATTTCTTTTTGCTTACCTTCTGTTGGAATAGTCAATCCATTAAGGATGTTTAGTAGTGAAGATTTGCCAGCTCCACTGTGACCCAGAATTGCTGTGATTTGACTTTCATATATGTCAAAGTGCAAGTCTGTTTTTAGTAAAATATACAGCATTACAAACAGAAGAGCATTAGACAGGGCTGGTCTTAAACAAAGGACAAGTCAATTAAGTTTCATGGGAAACTAAACAGGTGTTTAAATACATAATATTCAATACTTTCTTAATTGCCAAAAGAATACACGAAGAGATGTAAAAACTTAAGTAATGTAACTGATATCAGTGAAATCAGTGAAATACATATAGCAATTAAAATGATACTTTAATGATGCAGAATACAGTGACTAACAGAAGTCTAAAATGGATGAAAATAATCATAGAAATAAATATTAATAAAATTCATCAAAAAAGATGAATTATGTAATGAACAATATTGGGGAAACTAAAAAGCATATTAATAACTTTTATTTGTTGTTTTTAAATGGAAAATACACAGTGTTGTCAAGGGTCAGGAGAATGTGACACTGGCTATCCTGGAACTGACACTTATCATTGCAAAAATGAAACGTAGGCCTCAGTTTCCTCATCTGCAAAGTTAAGTGAATTATTGCTATAATTTTCATAAAATTTACGAGAAAAATCCATGTAAATCACTTAGAACAGCTCCCAGAACACACAAAGTCCTCCGTGAGCTTGCTGTTGTCATTAGTTAGTTATGTATTGCTGCTGTAATATTTTTAATTATGCATATTGAAATTTTCCCATTTTGGTAATAAAGTCAATGAAACAATAAAGTACTTTTCATTACCTTTCAATGCTTCCAATTTCCCAGACTTTCTTTTATATTCTTTTTTAACATTTCTGATTCTGAAATAATAAAGTATACTTACTTAGCCAACCAGTGATAAAAATACCCAGATTGTGAATAGACTAGTTAGAGCTACAGATGCAACTTTATGTGAAGTAAAGGACAGCATACCAAAACTATTCAGAAAAACAAGGGCTTGTTTTCAATTAATCATTTCCCACTGATCAAAAAAAAGCAGTCACTCTAGAAAGTGAAAATTAAGCTACCAACATTTTAGATAGAAAAGTAGAATGTTCTGTGATTATCCTCACTTTCTTTGCTAGTTTTAGAACACTAGAAATTCTTTCCCCATTGAGATTAGCTCATTCTCATGGAATCTTAAACTGTCACTTCCATCCCTTCAAGTTATGTTCATAATTAGACGTTTGTCACTTGCATCTTTCATAGTTTTCTAATAGATTCTCGGCACTGTAACTCTGCTGTAGATAATGATCAAAAGAGTTCCCACCTTACTTTACATAATTGTCCAAAAAATGTTAGTAATCTTGCCATTTTCTCTTTCTTACCTTTTATTTCCTCCTCACTTGCACTCTGGACCAGCCACTCTTGTGAACCTCTTCATTCTGAAATTATTTGTGGCTTCCTAATTACCAAATGCAACAGATGTTTTCTCTATCCTTGCTTATTGAATTATTAGTCACTATTGATGACTTTCTCTTTGTTGAAAATGTCTACATCCCACTTCACTGGTTTTCTTCCTTTTTATAAAATGTCCCTTTTATGTTTTCCAATAAGACCCTCTTCTTTCACCAGACTCATCTTTTTGGTGTTCCACAGGGTTCTCTCTCCTGCCTTCCTCTAAATCTGTTACTACCAAACTTAGTACACATTGGAATCCAAAGGGAATAGATGTCTGAGAACAACCCTCAAAGGTTTATATTAGACTCACATTAACTGATCTGGGGTAAAGACTGACAATTAGGACACAATCTAATGTGAAGCCATGCTTGAAAAGTAACTGCTCTCAAGCTGCACATCCTGAACAGACTCATTTCATTGCCACATAAACCCATCCCTCTACCATTTTGGGTCTTACTTAGCATTAAGGACATTCACCTATTTTCTTCTTAATTCTTATTCAGACTTGTCATTCATCTAACCAGTTATAATATGTTGTAAAATTTACCTCTAAAATCATTCTAGTCGTAGGCCTTTCTTCCCCACACTAATTATAATCATTCTTATTTACTCCCTTACCAAATTTTTTGTCTACTGCTTCCAATTTTTTTCTCTACCTCCAGGTTATTCCCTTAGAGAGTTCATGTTCCACAGGGAAAATAGGATAGTTTATCTTTTAAATTGTTTTATTCACTCTCAACATTCCTTAGAATTTCCTCATGAGCCTCATAAGGAAAGTCCAGGTTCCTTTGTACAACATGAAGCAGCCTCTCATGGTCTCTACAATGACATATTTCAGCACTCAATGCCTCACGTGTTATATGTCAATACCATCAAACCATCTGTCACATACTGCACAAGGCCTAAAGCTCTTTGTTTTTCTCTGCTAGATGAATAGATGTGCCACACACACATATGTATACATGCATATGCAACACATAGTCATAAAGTCACATACATGAACATGCATATACATAAGGCATCATTTCATCTAGCTTATTCTTATAAGGATGTTCCCTGCAGCATTGTTTATAAGAGAAAAAGGTTAGAAAACTTCACTTCCTTGTGATGGTTCCCTATTTATTCATTTTCCTTTGCTTCCTGACATCTCAATGATAGCCAGATGTTAAGAGAATAGATTCTAGAGCCAGACTGCCTGGATTTCAATCCCAGGTCCCAGTTATAAGTTGTGTGACACTGGGCAAAGGAATTAACCTTTCAGTATTTTAGGTTTCTCATTTGTAGTATGAGGAAAAGCTCCTGCTGTATATGTTTCTGGGAGAATTAAGTGCAGTCTGGTACATTGGTACACAGTAACCACTATACAAACATTTCCTAAGTAAATAAGTGGTTAATAGTTAAAGTTATAATTCTTTAACTTCATTGCAAACTTAGTAGAAAAATCTATAGGACTCTTTAAAACCCATAATACTTGGATTCAGATTCTCACCTTCTGAGGTAAGGTGCAGAACATAGGTATTTTAAGTGCTTCTGTTACATCCAAATCCTATAACCACCCTATGAAGATGTTCCTTGTATTTTATAGCAGACACTGAGACTCAGAGAAACTCTGTCATTTTCCCCAGATTACCCATCAATTGAAAAAGAAGTGTGGTATTAGGATCTAAGAGGTTCTAATTATGAATTTCTTGCTTCCAATATACCACATAAGCTGGATGAAACTACAGAAGGAGGGGGTTCAGAAAATGAAAATTGCAAGTATAAAGGAGAGGTGGAACATAAGAAAAGCAGAAAGGCATACAGGATGGAGTATGACAGGTAACATTATATGGAGGTAATAATCAAAGGGAGTTTTCCTTTCAAGTAGTAGTTAGAAGAAATTCATGGCGATGGCAGTGGAACAGTTCAAAGTAATGTAAATTCACAAGTTTCTTCCCCTTAATATTTTCCTCAGGCTCACTTTGTTGCTGTTGGTTAGCAATTCGTAAGCCTTCACTCATGTATTAGTGTAACTATAAGTATGATTACCTGATGGCTTCTTTTCCTTGGAATTCAGGAGCTATGGGTTCAAAATAATCATCAGAGGGAGGGTCAGGATCCTCATCTTTCTCAAGAACCTTATTATTAATCCTTTGGTGTTGGGAACATGAGGAATTCAGAAAGAACAATGGAGAATAATGGCGCTCATTCCCATCTAATAATAATCAAGGCAATAAAATATCAGATTGGTAATATTAATACAATGAGCAAATAAGCCTGGCTCACAATTATATGCATGACTTTTTAGACATTTTCCTTCTAACTTCCTATTATTCAAGAGAAAATCTGATAATGAAATAATCCGTGAAAAGTCAAAGGAAATAATATTGAAAAAGTTAATATAGTATAATGTTCAACAACATATAAATCAAAGGTTTGAATAAAATGTGATCTAAAAGGTATTTATAAAAATGAATGAAACAAAATAATTGCTAAAACATCACTTTAATATAGCACAAAAATAATTATAGACATGCTTGTGAACTTAATAATTTGACCATCACACTAGAATGGAAGTTAATACTAAAGTTTATAACACATGGAGAAGTTATATTTTTCCAAGATAAATATGGTAACAGCTTAATTGTTTCCTCATTTAAAAAATGAATAGTCAAAAAAGTACCAAATGGACAATATATATACATGAAGAAATGCTCCACAGCTTAGCCATAAAGGAAATGCAAATCAAAGCCACACCAAGTGTCTATGTCAGTTCAGTCAATAAGACAATCATTGAAGAAACAAATAACAAATACTGGTGAGGATGCAGGGGTAAAGGAACTTATACTCTTACAGTAGAAATGATAATTAGTACAATCACTGTAGAAATCAGTGTGGAGGTTCCTCAAAAAACCAAAAATGTAACTACCATATGATCCTGCCATACCACTCCTGGCCATATACCAAAGAACATATGTTATCATACAATAGAGATACCATGTTTATTGCAGCACTATTTGAAATAACCAAGATGGGAAATCAGTATAGGTGACCAACAAGAGATGAATGGATAAAGAAAATGTGGTATATATACATGTGATGGAGCATTATTCAGCTATAAAAAGGAATGACATTATGTCATTTGCAGGAAAACGAATGGAACTAAAGATCATCATGTTAAGTGAAATAAATCATAAACGACACTCAGAATGACAAATATCACGTTTTCTCTCATATGTGAAATCTAGATCTAAAAATACTTGATGTAAAGCAGGGGATGCAGTAGGGAGGGGGCAACAGCAGGAGGCAGAAGGGACAAGAAAGGGTGTGTCAGGGTGAATACAATCAAAGTTCATTGTATGTACATATGAAAATCATAATGAAACCCATAAAAATTGTGAAAAATAAACAGGTCAGGGGAATAAGAAAGAGTAATAAATAGGGCGAATGTGATCAAAGTGCATTATATGCAAGCATAAAATATCACAGTCATGGTCCTTACATTGTAAAATTGATACATACTAATAAAAATTAAAAAATTTTTAAAGGAAATAAAAATTAAAATGAGTAGTATTTGTTAATAATGGTCTTTGGATATAAACCATAAATAACAGAAGTACAGGAATATACATAAATACATAAGAACATATAATACAACATTAACTATAGCCTCAGAGGGAGGAGTACATAAAATGAAAGAATAAAATCATGCATTGTAAAAGCATTCTGATTCTCATCTGTGTGAAGAAATTCTGGGCTATGTGAACTTTTTTGGTTGTTTACAATATAGAGAAAGTTCAGTCACATAATTAATACACTTTATAAATATAAGCAATATGTCAAAAATATTAAGACTAAAAAATATACGTATTATGACTATTGAAGGTAAATGGATGCAATTAGAGGACATCATGCTAAGTGAAGTTATCCAGGATCAGAAACACAAAAGAGGCATGTTTTCTCTCACATGAGTAAGATAGATCCAAAGACAAACATAGACACAAAACAAGCATGATTGTATACAATTCAGAGGTAGAACATGCTTGTAACAGTGGAGCTACTCTATAGAACTCAGGAAAGAGGGAAAGAAAAGAGAATGATAGAGCATCAGTAATATCACATAACATAAGATGTGAAGGTAGAGGATATAAGGATGTGCACTAAAAGCTGTTGAAAAATGGGGTAGGAGGTAAAGGGATAAGGGAGAGTATTCAAAGGGATTGAACAGGCCAAAGTAAAGCACACCCATAGTGGGCATACATTGAGACATTCCTTCAAATGTCAACTCAAATATTAATTATGAAAACCAGGACAGTAAAGTAGGTGCAGTGTGTGGGGGGGGGGTGGAGTACTAATGGGAGGGGAGAGGGTGAAGAAAGGTGATGATATATGGTTGATGAACTTCATATATCTATATGAAACAGAACTAAAAAACCTCTTGCAATTGCTTTAAGTAGGGTGGGGAGGGGGCTGAGAGGGAGAGATGATATAATATAAATAATGTACAATATAAGATTAATCAGAATTGTCAGTACAAATCTCCCCCCATACAATGAATATATGCTAATAAAAGTTTTTAGAATAAAAAATATTAAGACTAATGCTGATCCACTATTTATTAGGAAGTATTTCCATACTGCTATCCACACCGTAGTAAGAACAAATTCATTTCAGCTGGTTGTGATGCAAATCCTTATTATCACACTTTCAAAATATTTTCAGGGATACTTGAAAAATAACATAATTTAATTACTTATAATTGCATATTTTATAATTATCATTATATAATTATAATTTTTATTATATTAAAGTCAGCAAAAAATTGTTTCTACATAAAAATTTCTTTAGACTATTAAAACCATGAAGTAGAAAAAAATGATTCATTTGGTCTGAGATTAGAAATATTTCTTCTTTACTTGTGCAAACATATTTATATAACCTTAATGAAAACTCTCCAATGAAATCAATAACCATAAAGTTCAGAGAAAAAGCAACTTACTTACAGGGTAAGATTTTGTCAAAATATAATGCTAATAACAAGTAGAGAAGACCATCAAAAGACAAAATGGAAAATGTTGCTATCATTATATATGAGTCTCCTGAAGGATCAGGAAAAATCACACCATTCAAGTTATAATCCAGGCGAATAATCTGAAATTCAAACAAAAAAACCCCAAATGTTCAAATTCATAAATAAATTGTTTGGCATAGCAACAAGAATTACTAGTTTATTAACTATGTTTCTTAAGAAACTCTTCTTAGTTATTAGACAAATATATAAGTAAACAAAGGTATTAGTTAAAATATTTCTATTTTATAGTGACCAAAGGCATATTACAAGGAAACACTGATCTAAAAAATGCCATGTTCTAATATGGAATTTAAATTCACTCATTTACTTGTTTTCATTAAGTCATTGCAACATTACAGAGTATGTGATGCAACAAATTATGTGCAATTTTTAGAAAGAATATAAGAAACTATTTGAAATATCTAATAGGATATTGAGAGACTATATGTCTTTTAAAACTTATTACTGCAAATAAACATTTATAACTTTGCCATATAATAATAGCTACTATGTTCTAGGCACTATTTGAAGTGCCTTTTGTATTATCCCATTTAATCTTCACCATAAATCTCTAAAGGAAGCTTGTTATTTTTACTGCACTTTATATTTAATGAAACTGAGGCACAGCAAAGTTGAGTGGTTTCACTAGTCAAAGCCAAGATTCACATAATGAGCAGAGACAAAGCTGAAATCATAATTTAAGAAGTCTAGCTCCAAAGTCCAGTCCATCCTCAGACACACTATACAATTTCTCAATTTATATTAAACTGTTAAAGTTTCATGAAAACTTTTTTTGCTTTTTTTAATTCATTTATTCATATGTGCATACATTGTTTGGGCCATTTCTCCCCCCTGCCCCTCACCCCCTCCCTCTCCACCTGACCCCTCTGGCTTCCAGGCAGAACCTGTCTGCCCTTTTCTCCAATTTTGTTGAAGAGAAGACATAAGCAATAATAAGAAAGACATGGCATTTTTGCTAGTTGAGATAAGGATAGCTATACAGAGAGATTCCTAGCATTGCTTCCATGCACAAGTGTATTACAACCTGAATTGAATCATCTCTACCAGACCTCTTCACTACTTCCTGGTCACCTTCCCATATTGACCTCTGTCATTTTAAGGTTACTGTACTAGCTCCTCTGCAGTGGGGACATCAAATACTTTTAAGTTTTGGGTTTCCTACCTGTCCCCATACCTCCTGTGTGTGCTCTCCCCTTAGCGTGTGATCCAAGTCTAATAATATTACTGCATTTGTTTTAGATCTAAAGTCTGCATATAAGGGAGAACATACAATTTTTGGCTTTCTGAGCCTGGCTAACTTCACTTAAGATGATGTTCTTCAGTTCTATCCATTTACTTGCGGAATGATAAGATTTCATTCTTCTTCGTGGCTGAGTAAAATTCCACTGTGTATAAATACCACATTTTCTTAGTCCATTCATCAGTACTGAGGCATCTTCACTGTTTCCATAACTTGGCTATTGTGAATAGTGCTGCAATAAACATGGGTGTGCAGGTGCCTCTGGAGTAACCTGTGTTGCATTCCTTTGGTTTATCCCTAGGAGTGGATTGCTGGATCATATGGCAGATCTAAGTTTAGTTTTTTAAGAAGCCTCCATATTGTTTCCAGAGTGGTTGCACTAGCTTGCATTCCCATCAGCAGTGTATAAGGGTTCCTTTTTCCCCATATCCTCACCAACATTTGTTGTTGGTGGTGTTTTTGATGATAGCCATTCTAACAGGGATGAGATGGAATCTTAGTGTGGTTTTGATTTGCATTTCCTTTACAGCCAGAGATGGTGAGCATTTTTTCATGTGTTTTTTGGCAATTTGAATTTCTTCTTTTGAAAAAGTTCTGTTTGGTTCAGTTGTCCATTTCTTTATTGGTTCATTGATTTTGAGGGGAATGCAAGACTGGTCAACATTTGAAAATCAATCAACTTGTTAATCAATTCAACATACAACAGATAGAAAAGGAAAATGATATGATTAAGTTTCTAAATGCAGTAAAAATATTTGAGAAAATTCAGTAACTACTCATAATAAAGAAAATTTCTTCACAAACTAAGAAATCCTTCTTAATCTGATTAATTAGATCATAAAGACCAGCACAAAGCATCATGCTTTCTTTTTAATAGTAAGATGTTTAAAGATTTTCCTTTGCTTGCATTTCTATTCAGTGTTTGTTGTGCTAGATGTCCTGATTTGTGCGGTAAGGCAGGAAAATAAACAAAAGACATAAGCACTACAATAGGAACGAGAGAAATCATCATTACTTACAGATCACACAATACCTAATTCTAAAATAAAACTCAGAAAAATATTTAATGTTTAATAACATAACAAGAATACTATATACTTAATATAAGTAGCATTCTTGATATATATGTGTGTATGTAACAACATCAGATATAGTGTTATAGATTTAGTAATATAATTTAACATGCAAGAATGCTGGATGCAACATTAATGTGTAGAAACCAGTCATATCTCTCACATTAATAATAAATATTTAGAAATAACAATTTAAATATCAAAAACTTAGTGTACACAATAATTTCTTTAGTTGATACAGAAGCATTCTGCATAAAAGGAAAACTTGACAAACTGAACTTTATCAAAATTAAGAACCTCCAATCATAAATATTATCATTAAGATAAAAAATTAAGAAATTTTAAAAGTTAGTAACAGATAACTTTGAAATGTCTGATATCCAGCATGTACCATGAATGCTTGCAAAGTAATAAGAAAAATATATAGAAACTCAGTAGGAAAATAAGGGAAAGATCTGGATTAATAACCACAATAATAAATCACTGCAAAGCTGACTGAATGGCTAAAACTAGGCAAACTGACAATACCAAATGCTGGTGAGCATTTAGAAAATCTAGAATACTGAAACATCACTGGTGTAACAATAAACTCATGCAGCCTCTTTGGAAAAATATTTGGTGGCAGCTACTAAGATTAAGGTTTGTGTATGCTAACAGGGCCCCACTATTCAATTCCTATATATATACCAAACAGAATATGTACAGTAGGAAACATGTACATGAATATTTGTAACAGCTTTATTAAAACTTGTCAAAAACTGAAAACTCTTTTCATTTATGGATAAGAAAATTGATAGTCACACAGTAGAAAACTACACAACACTGGACTACAAGCTACACACAAAAGTCTGAATGATACCTAAAAACATAATGTTAAGTGAAAAAAGGACAAATTTTCAAAAACACATTTTATGTAATATCACTTATTTAAAGTTAAAAATAGACAAAACTAAAAAAATTTATTTATAAACGTAAATGTAGCTGATAGTGAAAAACAAGGAAGTAATTGTCATAAAACACATTTAGTTGGATGGAGTATTTAGAGATGCTTCAGAGTGGATGCAACATTCTGTTTCTTAATTTGGTTCCTGGGTACTTTGATTTGTTTTATAATTATTTATTAAGCTGTATATTTATGTTTTGAAAGTTTTTCATATTTGAGTCATAGTTTATAAAATAAAATGTTTTTAGCTTTACACAGCAATTTTAATAAATTAGCAGTATGCTTCATTATATAAATGAAAATAAGAGAAAATATTTTATATAGAACAAAACTAGAATACCTCAAAATGAAAATACATCTGAGAGGTAAAATTCTGAGAAATTTTTTTATTTAAATTTACTTATGAGATGACAAGATTTGTACAATGTAATAGCAGCTGTATAGTAGAAAACTTGCTAAGAATAAAATCTCTTGGTTTAAGGTAGTGTTGACTAAAGGGTTTTGAAGTACCAATACTTTTGAAAGTTCAACAATAACCAAATTAACTATGCTTTTACCTGAGTCATTCCAGAAGTAAAGGCAAAGGGGCTACAAATACTCAAAATCCACTCCAGAGATGAAGGAAGTTGTCTGTAAAATGCAGTGAATCCCATACACCCCCAAAAAAGGGTAAGGAGAAACACAAGCAAATTGGTGAGGACGGCCTTCTGTAGCAAAACACTCATCAGGAATGCTAAAGCTATCTGAAAGAGAGAAGACATTTAGCTGTTGTATGTATTCAGTTCATTGAGAATCTATTCTAGTACACTAACATGAGGCTCTGTATATCACAAAGATATTTATCAGTAAGACAGTGATGTAAGTATGAAGGTATAATGATTCTCTTCTTGCTCAACCCTTTTTAAATAAGAACCTTTAAAGAAACTGGAAGATCTGAAAACAAGGTAGAAATACAGACTTGGAAAAACTGGATGAAGCAAAATTAATGTACTAAACAGGGCATCTATTCATATAACCTCTGAAAACATCTTAGAATGTGGGGAAATCAGAGGCTGTTCAGAGAAGGGTGAGAACAGTGAATTGAAGGAAGAAGAGCTATTTTGGATGGCTTCAATGTGATCAGGACCTTTACAGGGAGAATGATAGGTCCATCCCTCAAGAACATACTGAATAATCATCTAGAAAAGTCTGGGAGGAGGAGCCAAGATGGACTATTAGAAGTACCTTTGCAAGACTGCCAGAGAGGTGTCAAAGAGACAAAAAAAGAAACTATATTCCAAGGAGTGAAGGGAAGGAATAATTCTGGGTCAGTAGAGAAGTAAGGGGAAATCCTCAACAGCATTAGAATAAAAAAGACAGCGCTACAAAAAGAGCAAAGCAATTCCCAACTTCAACTCTGGCTATGGGAAGCAGGGAACCTCGCCCGAAAGCATAAGGCAAGCAGCCAGAAAATTCAAACAATCCCAATAATAACAGCAGAAAGGCAGTCCTAAATGCAAGAGAAACTCATAGTTCTTACATTCTTTAAATCCAGTTTGAGGATTTAGTCTAAAAGTGACTTCTCTGCTACAAAGGTACTTACTCTGGACTTTATCCAACCATGAGAACTCAAACTCTCTCAACAGCTCTAACTTATCTTAGGGAGTCATGGTTCCCGCCAGAAGACTTGGGCTTATGAACACATCACAGAGTGGGAAACAACTTCCATCCAGAAATGCTGCAACTTCATGACCACTGGCTATCATGGCCATAAGCCTGAGATTCACCTGTGCTTGTGCCATGGAAATTGATGAGGATCTCCTTCCCAGAACACAGGTTCAAGAGTGCAGCCACCAGTACAAAACCCTGGTTTTACCCAAGTCTGTAAACCCAGATCTGCACCAGTGCCTTCACTTTCTCAGCATGATCTGTGGGAGAGCTCATAACACCCCAACCTTGGGACAGTGGACAACATTGTTGCAAGGTCCTTGTTTCACCCATTGACCATTGGGAAGGCTCCTGACAAAACGCCACAGTTACACAAACCCAGCAAGCAGAGACCGCAACCCTTACCAATACCTGCACATGACTGGTGGGATCTAGGGAATTCAGATCTAGCTATCCCACAACTCTGGGACTGCATTTGCAGGTTCAAAGAGCCTCTGCAGCATTCAAGCTTTTCCCTGGGGACAAGGAGAAGGGCCCATCTGTGTTCTTTACCTTCAGGACTTCACTTCATAAGACTGAATTCATGTCATACCAGATGAGCAGACATCAATAAAAGGACACAAGAATGAAACATGGCACTTCCAAAGAAGAACAAAAATTCTCTAGAAATAGATCTCAATTTAAAGGAAAACTATGAGGTGCCTGAAAAATAATTTAAAATAATGATTCCAAAGAAACTATGTGAGATGCAGGAGAATGCAGATAAACAACACAAAGAATTGAGAAATTCACCAAAGAGACAGAAAGTTTAAAAAATAACCAATTAGTAGAGGTATGAATTTCAATTGATGAAATAAAAAATACAATTGAAAGCTTCCACAGCAAATTAGATCAAGCAGAAGAAAGGATTTTAATACTTGAAACCAGTTCAACAAATTAACAGTCAAATGTAAAGCAATAAAAACAATTAAAAAGAATGAAGGAAGCCTATGAGACCTGAGGGACGTTGTTAAGTGACCAAATACATGCAGAGCAGGAATTCCAGAACATGAAGAAAAGGGAAAAGTTATTGAAAACCTATCTCACAAAATAATAGGTGAAAGCTACCCAAATTATCAAAGAGATGTGAATATTCAGATTTAAAAAGTTCAAAAGACATACTGGCTAGGTTGCACCAAAACAGACATTCACTAAGGAATATTGTAGTCAAAGTGTCACAGGTACAAGGTAATGAGAGAATCCCCAAATAGCAAGACTAACGTGTTGAGTCATATGTAAAAGAGGGCACACCAGACTTACAGCACAAACCTTACATGGCAGTAGAAAATGGGAAGATATATTAATACTGAAATTAAAAAACCTGCCAACCAAGAATACTATGCCCACCAAAATTATCCTTTGAAACTGAAAGAAAAATAAACGTCTTTCCCAGATAAGCAGGAATTCATCACTACCAGACCAACCCTATAAGAAATACTTCTGTAATGAAAGAATGATGACTACAAACATCAAAATACATGCAAGTACAATCCTGAGTAGAACAGATACACAAAAGAGAAGGAAGAGAATTAAAACTTAGCATGTCAGAAAACTACCAAATCACAAAATAAATAATAAAAGAGGCAGAGAGGGACAAAAAATATGCAAAGCAAGAATACAATTAAAAATGACAGAAAGGTGTTAACAACCTTGAATGTAAATGGATTAAACTCACCAATTACAAGGCATACACTGGTTGAATGAATTTAAATAAATTAAGACCCAATTATATTCTGCCTTCAAGAAACCTACCTCACTGCTAAAAGTAAAGAGTGGGAAAAAGATATATCAGATACATAGGAACCCTAAACAGGGCAGGTGCTGTGGTGGTACATTCCTACAATCCCAGTATTTAGGAGGGAAAGACAGGATGATTGCTGTTTGAGGCCAGCCTGAGCCTGGGAGGGGGCAGGGGACAGGGGAAGAAATGGCCCAAACAATGTATGCACATGTGAATAAATTAATAAAAAAAGTCGAGTATTTCTAGAATCAAAATCGTTTTGGATGCATAATTTCATTCATTTGGGCCTTCATAAAAAAGGGAGATCCTATCTTTCTTGGTTTGACATCATTTTCTCACATCCATAGAAATTTTCTCAAGCAAACACACATGACACAGAATAAGTGATTTACTAACCTACCAGGGCACTAATAATTTGCCACATGTAGCTAAGACCTAAGTAGAAAAAAATGGTAATGAATGTATGAACTTACCAAAGAGAAGCCAAATAAGAAAAAGAGTGTAAATATGACGAGGAAGCCGGTCATGACTATGATTTCACTGGATGTTATGACAGTCGCAATGAATATGGAAATAATGAAGATGAAACCAGCATAGATTAAGCACCAGGAGAGCCTAAGTAAACACAAAAAGTTATTTAAATTATTTTAACTTTATTAAGAAATATCTTACATGTACAAATCACCTGAAGTATATCATGTTTACCCTCATATCTTAATAACTATAATATTGATAAATATGTCAGAAGCCTGCTCTGCACACTTAATGCAACCACAATTCTCTACTTTTTTCCCAGTCTGATACCTGCTTTTCTAAATGGGCTATTTAAAATACCCATGCATTTTGATTGCCTTTGTCATACATAGGTGATAAATACTGAATGCTGGTATAGCCACCAACCAATGGGATAGGATGGTACAACCAGTAAAATGACTGTAAACAATGGCCTGGCCTTGTTGGTGCCCACAGGTTAGGTATCAGCTCTGAATGCTTGCACTTAGTATGAACACGGTACAAAGTGCATCACATTGCAGGCATTCTTCTATAACTTGCCTTTATTAGTCAATGTTAACAGTGTTATAGACTGCTGTATAATATTTCATTGTATGGGCACACCCTCAAGGTCTGCTGCTCATGGACATATAGATTATTTCCAATGTTTTTCTGCTATTGCATTGCCAAGAACATTATTATATTTGGGGAGAAAATGCATAAGAACATCTCTAAGGTGAAAATGCTAAATTAAATGTTGTTTTGCAGATTTATTTATTACCAAGGGGTACTGATTATTGAACTGGCAGAAAACATAACAGTTGCTAGCCATGCAAGTAATCTATAAGCATCAAGTGTTTGCTAATTCTAAAGGATCTCTGCCAGCAACACCTCTATTCTCCTTAGTGGAAGAAAATAGAAATTACTTAATTCCATCAGGGATGTCACATTCTTCTTATTCCAATTCATGATTTCTTTACTTAAACTGATATAAATTATGGTAACCTTTGTATTTTCACACTGTCTTCCTTTAGATGTGGTCTGTTCAAATTTGTATGAAGTATTTATTAAGAAACAGTATTCAATCTAACAAGACTATAATGTACATAAATCCAAGCTTCTCATTTCATTAATAAGAAAGCGATAATCCCTCTTATTAGTTCCTGAGTTTATCTAAGGTCATAAAAGAAATCATTAATAAGGCACAGATGAAACTATAGGCCTTCTCTTTCTTTCTTCAGAGCTTTTTTTTTCTTCTTAAAATTGGGTAATTTTAAATAAGAGTTTAATAGATGAAAAATTCTTCAAACATGTTAACACTGGAAACTGGGATTGGTACATCCCAACAACATTTTTATGCTGTGTCTACTGCTTATTTGACTTTTAAATTTTTTTCATGCTATTATAATGTTTAAGCCTGTGCTAGAAACATCTGCATTCTTTAAAAACATTACGCATTCTGCAAAATTCAGTTCCTGAATGTAAAAGGGAACTGCTTTAAGTAGGAATTTAAAAAAATCATAGTGTAGGAGAATTAGGAGTTAAAGAGCTTAGAACATTACACAGAAAAAGGAACCAGCTGCATGTGTAGAGCTGGGGAGCAGATGTTAGTAAACTTACAAAATCCTTCTGGCTAAAAGCAAAGCAATTAAGGCATCATACTCAAAGAATAAATGCTGATTACATTTCACATTTACAACATTAGTAAAAGAAAGGTCATAAAATTTATTTCCAAAAGACACCCAGCACTTAATAGAAATGTTTGAGAAATTTTTTTCTTCAAGGATACATACTAAGAATCATCCTGAAAATGAATCCATGTCCAAAAATTATAGCTTTTTGACTTGAATATGGAATTGACCAGTGCAGGACTGGACTTGGGTGACTGCAGGCAATCTGTCCTACAGGACTTGTGCTTGGCTGAAAGGAGGTCCCTTCTACATGGGTTCCTTCTCACTTCCCTCCTAACAGACTCTGTGGGTGGCTCTAAATCCATTTCTTTGTATTTCCAAATGTCCCATTGCAAAAAATTCTTCTCTCTTTGTTTTTTTTTAACTTGAGTTTCCTTTTTCTATTTCACAATTCATATATATTAGACTTAAATTATCTCTTAGTAAAATATATTTTACAGAAAAGTAAAAATTTCCTAAACCATAATTGTATTTTAAGGAAGGCATGGCTTGCAAAGGACTATCCAACAAATAATTATTCATCCATTCCTGGTAGTTCCATGTGCATAGAGGGATTTTTGTTTAGGTTTTTTGTTTGTTTATTTGAGACAGGGTCTCTCTATATAGCCCAGTATGGCCTCAAACTCATCATTCTCTTGCTTCTGATTCTCTAGTGCTGAAATTATGGTTGTGCAGCACCATACACACAGACGAGTATTTTCTTGATATGAGGGATATACAGAGAAATGTCTCTCAAGATTCAATATCAGAAAAGTATTATGTTTCTTTTGAGGTAAAATAAGCAGATTATTTTTCCTTTTCATAAGTACTGTACATTTTTGTCACTGGTAGTCTTACAGGATTCTGTTTGGCTTCTTGAGAGTTTAGGCTTTATATGACTTGCATTTCTATCTATTAATCTCACTGCTAGTATTTCTGTAGGTTTTTGTTACTATGCAATCATTTGCTTTTACTATGGTACATATGCATAAATAGGCACACAGATAGATATACACATGTGTTTATATAAATATACATACATATATATTTCAAAATCATTTTAAATTATTTGTGGATTGGGGCAAGATTCAAATACGTTTTTTCATGGTAACTTATCTGCTATATCCTGGACATATTACTGAGACTATCTCATTTGACCCTTCCCTAAAATATTTACTTGCTCCAAAATGCATATGCTTGGTGGTCAAGCCATTACAGTACTAAACTTTCTTCAACATGAGGAAGCTTTGAGAACCAGCTGATGACTGGGCAGAGCTGCACTCAGGTCACTTCAGTTAGAGTCCCAGCTCTGGCACACGCCATCTACCTGACACTGGACAACTCTGTTATTCTCTTTCACCTTTACTTTCTGTGTTTACAAACTGGATGACAGTGCCTGGGTCATAGGGTTAGGAAAAGTAAAAGCTGACTAACAGGAAAGGTGTTCAGTAAATTAGAATCACTACTTCCCATGGCAAAATTTAACAAAGACTGAGTCAAGAAGTCAGAACAAAAGAACAAGTAGCTTGTGTATCAATGTTAATCCATGGTATTCTGAAAAGCTAATATGATTTTCACTGCTTCTTGATTTCTGCTTATTAATTTTCACTATTGAATTACTCACTTACCAGAATGCTGAATCTTGCAGACCCATCATTTTCATCAAATCCTTGGACTTCTTTCTTTCTTTTGTAATATCAAGTGATACAAAATACATAATTGGGGAGAAATAAAGCAAGCAGACTAAAATAAATATTTCATTTTGGAGAAAGTCTTTAGAAATAAAAGGCAATGTCTTCATATTTATAGCAGTAACTGACATCAGCTCCTCCATCACAGAATGATTTGTTGTGATCTAAAGAATATGTAAGCAAACATAAACCATTATTTAAAGGATACAAATTGGTGCAATCTGAGTAAGCACTGTACATTGTACGAATGTCTATTTCCTGGTTTTAATACTGTACTATACTTATGTAAGATTACCATTAGATGATTACCATTCTATGCATTATTTTTTGCAATTCATATGACCATTTCAAATTAAGAGTTTATAATTAGTGTGTTCCTTTGTCTAAATTCCTTTTTCATTTTATAAACGTTTCTATCACTGCCATGATTTGAATGTGTTGAAACTTTAACTCCATGTGGAGATATTAAAGGCATGGCTTTTGAGGGAGTGACAAAATCATGAGGGTATCATCCTCATGAATGAATAGTGCCTTAGGAAAGGCTGGATGGAACTAGCTGAGGCCCTTTTATCCCTTCCATCCCTTCTGTCATGCAAAGACACCTAGTTAGGGCCATATGTCAGGAATGGGCCTTTGTGGGATTTTGAACCTTCAGGTGCTTCCCAGCCTCCAGAACAATGAGGAATGACTTTCTACTCTTTACAAATCACTTAATCTGAGGGATTTGGTTACAGCAGCACAAATAGAGGAAAACAGTCCTCTTTCATCAAAATCTTGATGCCTGTGCAATTAGCATCATTAAGCATTAGAACTTTTCAATTGAGCACTTACTTCTATAATAGCAGAGTTAATGAGCGTTTGTAAAGTCACAAATCCTCTATTCCAGTATCTGGACAATATGCACGAAAAGTCATCATATGTTTCCCAGCAATGAGCTGTAAGCACAAGAAAAAGCACAACAGGATGAGGAAGTTGAGAAACAAGAAACAAGAATCTCTTAAGAGAAAGCATTCTACAGGAGACTCCACCAATCAGAATGTTTAATCACACAGACAAAAGAAGCAAATGAATGTTCTTAATAAGGTAATTTTAAAGTTAGGTGTAATGCACACTTGCAACCCCAGCACTGACACATACTAGACTAGTGGCAATTAGCAGTCTAGGAGCATAAAGAACAATGCCTTAGAGCTTTCACATCTAAGTGCCCCTCCCCCACCATGTTCTGCTCCAAGGAAGGCTCAGGACTTTCCCTAAACTGAATGTAGCATGTGTGTAAGAGGAAATCTTTGCTCCAAAGTAAACTTTGATTGATTATCATAGTAAAATTAACTGAATTCTAGATAGAGACTGAAGATGCTAATGAGATGCAATGTATGAAGAAATGTGACTGACAAGCTACTGTGCAGGCATTGCCTGTCCTCCACACGTTATGCCCAGGGCTGCACTCCTGGCTGAGGGAGGAACAAAGAAAGGGGGACACCACCTGCCTGCACTGAGGGAGACTGTGGGGACTTTCTTTCCAACCTCTCATATGGCTTCCCTTATGTTACAACATAAGAACAGGGCCAAAGTAAAGTATACCCACAGCGGGCATACATTGAGGTACCCCTTTAACATCAACTCAAATATTAATAATGAAAAACAGATAGGTACAGTGTGGGGGGGTACTAGTGGGAGGGAGGATGAATGAAGGAGATTAAGGCAATGGTATGTGGTAGATGGACTTCATACACCTATATGAAACAGAAATAAGAAACCTCTTGCAATTGCTTTAAGTGGGGCAGGGAGGGGATTGAGGGAGAGAGACAATGGAGGCAATGTAATTAATGTACAATATAAGTCTAATCAGAATTGTCACTGTGAATCCCCTACCCCTGTATAATGAATATATCCTAATAAAAAATTATTTTAAAAATTCACTGACCAGAAATAAAAGCTTTTACTGCTGTGTTTGAGTGTCTCTGGCTAATTCTTCTCTTGTAGGTTACAGGGTCCCACAGGACAGGTCTGTAACAATTTTATTCTTAAAGACCACAGAATATATAGGAAGTCTTAGAAAATAAAAAGATGAAAGCAAACAGTGCCCACCATACTGGAGTCCATGCTATGTCTTAAAATGCCAAACACATTCTAGCCTTGCCATTTTCTTTGTACTCAAATCCCTCCAGATGGATACACAGCTTACTCCTTCTCTTTATCCAGAATTCCTCTCATCATAGAGGCCTTTTTCTGGCCACTATAAATAAAATATCTGAAATAGCTTTTCCTATCATTAGCTTCTCATTTTGTCTTATATTACTTTGCTGGGTGTATCATTTTTCTTCAATCGCCTGGCCCTGACTAGAATTATTCCTGTGAGCAGGCTCTGTTACCTTGGTGTACTTCAATCTGCAGGACTACGACCAGTGCAGATCTTGTAGTAGACACCCAGGTCAGAACTGACCCCAATTAGTCACATCAATTCTACTTCTTGGAGGGTTCTCTAACCTCTCTGGGAGGTTCATTCTATCCTGGAATCCTGTGCAACTCATTCTCTAGCTATATCAGGAGTACTCTCTTAATCTTGGAAACCTAATCACATTGATTAAAGTATCTCAATGGCTATCCAATGGCATAGGTTTAGAAGATACCACAAGATCTCACCCTTAAGTAACTTCACCTTCATTCTCCCATTACAATCCTTTCCTTCTCATGCTTCACCTCAGTCCCTTCCCATCAGCCTTTCTTCTATCTGAAACATAATGCCTCTAGTTATGCAAATTTGCTACCCATCTGGTCTTAGTCAACTCCTTATCCTGCCATTTATTAGGAATCCCTAGTCTAAATCCTCATAAGTACCTTCCCTTGTACATGTCATTAATTATTAATTTCTGGTTTTCCTACTAAACAGGAATGCCATCTGACATTAGGACTCATCAGATTTGATCACTCTTGAAGCCTTTGAAACATACCTTCAAGCTCAATGGATGTATGCTGAATCACTGTACAATGTTTGAGAGTCAACCTCTGATAGGAATGCACTATTTGCCTTGTAATAAGTTAAAAAATGAAATGCCATTCTATTTTCTCATGTGCCATTGAAAACATGTGTTGCTCATATACTTTCTTTCCTTATGTTGAAAACATGAAAATTCTCATAGTGATATATTATATGGAAAGTTACCTGAAAACTCTTCTTCCAAAAATGGAGCTGCATAGCCTAGAAAAAATCTTAACTTGTAAGAGAAACTGTCTTTAAAGATGATTCCCACAGCATATGGCAAATTCTCCAGAAGTATCTTATCCATGTATGTTGTATTTGGTACCCCAATGATTTTTGTTCCTGTGCATTATAAGGTTAAGTTAGATGTGGAAAACTGTTATAGTCTTGTTAAAACAAAATATGATATTTGACTATGTCATCATATTTTTTTTGAGATATATATTATCTTTTTATTAGACATACTATTTTTATTAGACATATATCACTACCCATTTAAATGAAACTTGAACCAAAATGCACAATGAGAATTTTTATTTAATATTTTTAGATTCCAGGAAACATGCATGATAATTAAGTGTTTCCTTTTAATAATGACAGGTATCAGCACAAGATTTTGGTACATTGAAAACATGCTGGGGGGATTAGTAGGCATAAGAGAATGAGGACACAAAATATAGAAGTAATTGTTGTAGCTACTACACATCTGAGGATTTCAGATTTCAGATTAACTGATGCAAAAACAATTTATATGACCTTCACCTTATGAAGGAAGCAATATAATAAAATAATTCTAATAGCCAGAAATTTCACTGGTTGGAAATTGAGTATGAAAGAGTACACTATATCCAGCTTGCCATGAATAAAATATGCATTTTGTTTCATCTTGGTTGCATAATGACCTAATTTAAAATGAAGACCTTTAAATATGTTTACATATTATACTATATGCTGAAAGGATAATCTAGATTATTCATCCTACTTTATAACTATGGAGTCATGAAATTATTGTTCAATAATCATGACCTAATTTTTATTTAGATTTTTCCTGAATTATAAATCTTAATTAGTGTATTTCCATATTAAAAACACACACACTCACCAATGGCTATATTTCTCCTAGTCACTATTCTGTGAATCTGAAATTATAAATCCGTTGTTTCATTATATTCCAATAGAAATGTGGTCCCTGCTAAACTGAGTCTCTATCAAGCAGAAAAGTTTTAAAAGACTAATTGTTGTACTGGACACCAGTGGCTCATGATTGTGATTCAAGCTCAGCCTGGACAAATAGTTTGTGAGATGCTATCTCCAAAATAACCAGAACAAAATAATAGACTGGAGGTGTGGCTCAAGTGGTAGATCACTTGCTTTGCAAGCATGAACCCCTGAGTTCAAACACAGTCCTACCCACTCTCCCAAAAAACCCCAAAGAATTAGAAAAAGGTTAAATGTTGCAACAGAAAATAAACTAACCAAACTGCATGCCATACTTACATTTGTTTGCATAATATATAACTGTTACTTCAAATTAACATGTATACATCTAAGCAAAAATAAATACTAATAACAGCAACTCTTATCATTAATGCCATTAATGCACTTACCTTTCATAAAGGGAGCAGCTGCTGTTTTATTCATTATTTGTTGGGTTATATTAGAGACTGGTGTGTATACAATCATTGTAGAAGACATATTAAATTTATCTACCCGTCCCAGATCCTGAGGAGGCTTTTCATGAAAATGAATATTTTCTCCAAAATATGAAAACAAACTCAAATATACTCCTACCAGTACTGGGATGCCCCATTCCTGCAAAATATTTTTTAAAAGACAATAATGAATTCTGATCATTTTTTACTTCAAGTCAGTAAACATCAAAGAACTATGGGAGATAATTCCAATTTCATCATATACTTAGCTTCTCTTTGCTCTCTACACTTCAGAGCATGAAGAAACCAATGAAAGATAAATACGGAGTTAATAGCCACACAAATCATTCTTGATGCTAGAAGTAAATTTTTGCATTAAACCAAGAACTACTTCAGAAGCCATCTAGAAACTAATAAGATGCAAAACAAGATAGAAAATTTCTATATGCCCAGAAAGCCAATTCTAGAGTCTATAGGCACAGCATGTTCCAGATAGGCTCCATGGTGGCAAATAGCAATGGTTTAGCAGTTGTCTCATCCTTGTATTCAAAACTAAAGGAAATAAGAAGAAACTGAGTGGTAGAGACTCTCATTTGGATCACCAATACTAATAATCTCTGCTAGACTACATTTAGTCTTCAAAATTAAGTGGAACTAAATGATGGAGTTCTGACCAGGCAGATATGTGCCACTTCCAGGCCTAGTTGCTGATCCCTCACATAACTTTCTACACTCTCTCTGTCTCAGTAGTTCATTTTTCTGATCTTCTGGCCCAATGCAGAGGATTCACCAGAGGTCACCAAGGCCTAAATTGGCCAGGGTCCTTACATGAAGACACCTAGATCCCTAAATGACTGGAGAAGATTCCACATTGCCAGCCCACTTTTCTACTACCAATCTTTAGACTATGAAAATATCGAAAGTTAATCTTTTTATGTTGAGCCCCTGAGACCTGTGCTAGTCACCTGTACTTAACCCATAACCTAGTGGTTGGGTTAGGTTAGTGTCATAATTCTCGATTATTAGTATTGGTGATTTCTACATAATCGCTGTATAGAAAATTAATAGCTTTGAATATAAGACCAAAAATTAAAATTCCTCAATCTATGCTAGGCAAAATATTTATTATTTCTTGTCTCTCAATGTATATGTGGTAACTTTAACATTTGCTACAATTTACATACAATTACATTTTCATTTGATCTCTTTTTAAAATATGCCTAGTACTTTCAGTCTTCACATTCCACATTATTGCTCAGAGACTATTATGCCTCTCAGTTGAACAAATTCAACTAGAGAATCAATAAGTCCAGTCTTCCTGATTAAAATATAACATTTGAAATCATTAGGCAATGAAAGAGGAGGGCTAACTGTGGAAAGAGGCAAACAGTCAGACATACCAATAAGCTCTCTCTCTTCATTCTCCATTTTTTAAGAAAATTCTTGCGCAGAAGTGCTTGAGTTTGCTGATACACACTTATCTGTTTTATTCTCATTTCACCTATCATTAAATGAACAAAGAATACATAACCCAGGAAAAACAAATACAATAAGAAAAATGTTTATACTTTTGAGTAAAATATTCACTACTTTTAAGAACTGTTTAAAATGTATATAAAATATTATTGCAATAATTCATACCTAATTTCACCTCAAATATACCCTTTATGCTATCTGGGGGAGTGGATGGTGCTGGGTAGGTACAGTGATTATTACTATACTTTTATACTGAGTGTTACAACAGAAAAACTATCATTAGTGTTCAGAACCTATGAGATAATGTCATATTTTTTGCCTTATGTAAGCAGAATCCAACAATGTGAATAGTGTAATTAAATTATTTCTCATTCTACTAATAGTTATTTCTTGTTCCTTGTATTTTAATGCAAATAGCAGAGATAATCAAATTAACACCAAAACTCTGATTACTTAAATTCATCTAAACCACAAGTTATGTTCATTAGATAAAACCCCAATAAAATATTTTATTGTAGTATTTGCCTTCGGATTGAAGTGAATCACTATTAACAAAAGAATTAGGTTGTGGGATAACAATACAGACTCAAATTACTTGAAGCTTGATTCTAAAACACAAGAATAAAACATTTCTCTCAATTTTCTGAATTCAGAAATCCCTAAATAACTCAGGAAACAAACCACAAAATAAAATTTTTTAAAGGAAAGGAAGAAAGATGTTATATTGGAAAGTAACTTTGCCCAAATGTTTTCAAGTAAACAGAAGACATTTTCCAGTACGTATTATCTCTAAATTTAAAGATTCTTTTAAATGTACATATAAAAATATCCCAGCAATTCTCCCTCAGCTAGTACAGAAGAAAATTTCACCATTTTCCTCCATTCTATTGCTATAGCTATACAAGAAAAGTTGGATGGGAAAAATTTAGTCACTAAATCTTCAACATAAAGCATATAAGTATTTAAAAACACCTAACAGATTAATTTTAGCAGTGTTCACCCACGTATTTGGCATAATACAAAGAAAACAGAGCTTTACTTACTGTCAGGAAAATTAGAAAAAGTACTCTGGAAACACAATCAAGCACAGTTCTCTTTTTTGTCTAGTGCAATGATTAAAACTTTATCACTGCTTCTTCATTTATTCCTTAAATAGGTGGCTACTCCCAGCAGTTCTTACTCACTGATTTCTGAAAAAGGGTGTAGTCAAGTCAAGCTGCACATGACGAACTTGTGTTTTCTGTGTCCTTTTTTCCCCCTAATTCTGCAGGGAAGTGACTGTTCTGTGATTGGTGGGAATAAAACAAACTCAATGTTTCTTCATTTGGCCTTTCAACTCCAGGGATAAGGGAGGAAATGGGAAATATGGAAAATGCTACTAGTCCATCAGACATGATGAGATCAAGATGGAAGAAAGGGCAAGAAGAGCAAAAGTAATAATTAAGCAAGCAAAGCACTTAAATTTGAGAAATATTAATTTATGTTTTTTTCATTACTGATGGCTAAATGGAACTATCAATCATAAACTTGGTGAATTCAGACTAAGTGGGGAGAGTATGCTAGAGCTGAAAATTTTCTTTTCTTTTCTTTCTTTTTCCTAATAAAGCTAAGCAATCCACAGACTACCTTAGAAATACTCCTGGAATGGACCAACGAAGAGTTAGCGACAAATTCCTTTCTCCTGGTCTGTTCATAATGGATGCAGGATTTGATAAGATATATGAACAAAATAAAATAAAGTGGGTTGCCTTTAACAAAAAGACATTAAAAGGGGCTGGAATGTAGCTCGGTGGTACAGCGCTTGCCTAGGGCCTGGATTCAATCCCAGCACCAAAAAAAAAAAAAAAGACCTCTCCCCAAAAAGACATTAAAAGATTCAGGTACACTTTTATGTATGAATGCTAGAAAGAACTGAATTGTATTCAGTTCTCATTTCAAAGTCTATCTCTCTGAAAACAATTACAAACTTTTCTTGACCTGCCACAATAAATGGCAAAACAGGAAACCAAAGTCCATGAATTGGGAAATCTCAAATATTTGACATGGCTCCCAATCCACAGATGTTAATAATCATAAAGCAGAGATGTTCTAGAGTACAGGGAAGAATTTTAAAACAACAGTCAAAGCAATGATATTATACATGTGTGTATATGTATATGTGAAAATGTTTGTGTGTGTGTGTGTGTGTGTGTGTGTGTGTATGTGTGTGTATCCTTGGCAATTTATTCTCTTTTTAAAAAGAGTCAGTAGTGAAATATTACATGTGTTTTATACTGAAAATTGGCAGAAAACAAAGGTAACAGAAGAAGTCATGGGGGATGGGAAAAGATCACAAACATAAAATTTTTGTAACAATAATGCAACAAAATTTAGTTTCTTTTAAGTCACCTAGAGTATAGTGTAGGTGTCTATTAAAATTTTTTGTTATAGTTGTTTCATACCCTTTATACTCTTTTAGAATTGTTCTTACTCTGCCTTTCTAATCTATTATAATTCATAGCTATAATATCAGTAACTGCTTAGATTAAATATATTTTTACTAGTTTCTTGTATGTGTTTTGCCTTCCTCTTTCTTGACCTTATTCTGACTTATTTTCATCTGGGGAGATCATTTTCCTTATTTATTTGATTATTTATTCAGCTGTGCTAGAGATGGGACCCAGCACCTAATACCTGGTAAGCAAGTACCCTACCACTGAGTTACATCGTGGCCCTGTTTTCTTCATTTAAATGTAAAGATTTCCCCATAGGTGATGACTTAACATGATGAGGAAGTCTAACCTCCAGCTGAAGAACACTGAAATGGTGGATAAAAACATAACCCACAGTAGGAACTCCAATATCTAACTAAACTTTTTAAAAGAAGATACTGAAATGAAAGTACCAAACAATGAAAGAAGAAACATGTATTCTCAGGTGCTACAAGTGAAAAGGGAGACTAAAATTTCCCTTGAACTATGAATGGCATTTCAATTGCTGCCCAAAGATGTATTGGACTGAGACCTAAGCCTCAGGTATTAATGCCTCTGTGGCCTGGACTTGATCCTCGACAGGTCAAGAAGCTGGAATTCATATCTCTGCATGAATCCAGAAGCTTTGCAGATCTCTTCAGTGTTAACCACTGGCAAAAACAAAATTTCACCTAGTAGCCTTTCCTTACTTAGGAAAGAGTAAGGACATTTATATGCTGTTCAATCTCTGTGATACATAGAAAATGAAAATCTCAGGTATATATAGCACATGTCAGGTAAAGGAGACAGTAAAGGGTTCTGATGCTTAGTAAAAGAATCAATATCATAGCCTTTAGTATATGTACTCTGGAGCCAAATCAGGGTTCAAATTCTGACTCTGCCATGTACTAGCTGTGTGACCTTGCACAATCTTTTTAAAATTTTTTTTATTATTCATATGTGCATACAACGCTTGGGTCATTTCTACCCCCTGCCCTCACCCCCTCCCTTACCACCTATCAGCTCCCTCCCTCTCTCCCCCATCTCCTCGATACCCAGCAGAAAATATTTTGTCCTTATCTCTAATTTTGTTGAAGAGAGAGTATAACCAATAATAGGAAGGATCAAGGTTTTTGCTAGTTGAGATAAGGATAGCTATACAGGGCATTGACTCACATTAATTTCCTGTGCATGTGTGTTACCTTCTAGGTTAATTCTTTTTGATCTCACCTTTTCTCTAGTTCCTGGTCCCCTTTTCCTATTGTCCTCAGTTGCTTTTAAGGTATCTGCTTTAGTTTCTCTGCATTAAGGGCAACAAATGCTAGCTAATTTTTTAGGTGTCTTACCTATCCTCACACCTCTCTTGTTGCACAATCTCTTTAGCCCTTTCCCTCTCAGATTTTTCATCCATAAAAATTGGTAAATGATTGTGCGGATTAAATATGATAATGTGAATGAGTACCAAGTACAATACCTGGAAAATTGTGAAAACTCAAAAAATCTCATTTATTGTTACTGATAACTCTTCTTCCTACAACTACCATTCCTACTATCCTGGAAACCTCACCAAGAAGACAAACAATTCTATAGGGATATGGCCAGAATCCAGGGCACACAGTAACAGAACTTTAAAAGAATATTCTTTCAGAAACAAACCTCATGATCAAATCCTAACACACACACATATACACACACAATCATCAGAGCAAGCCAATGGGATTTTTAACAAATGTGAGAACTAAAGATGATAGAAACTATGACAGAGACTATAAAATATCTATTTCAAGTGTTAAAGAAATTAGGTAAATTAGCTACAATAGGACACAATGAAAGGTAAGACTAATAAAGCAATCAACTAGAATATGTAAAAATTAAAGAAATCATTAATGGTTAAGGTTTAAAACAATGACTTTGTTCTTGCCAACATTGTATGAGTCCCTTTTCTCCATATCCTCATTAGCATTTGTTACTTTTGTCTTTTTGACATTAACTATTTTTATTGTGATGAGATACCTCACTGTGCTTTTGATTTGCACTTCCTTGATGGCTAATGATGTTGAGTACTTTGTTGCCACTTGGAATTCTTGTTTATAAAAATGTCTATTCAAATCCTTTGCCCATTTTTAATTTGTATTGCATTGTCCACTTTTTATTTGAAGTTTTCTGTGTTTCTTATGTATTCTGGATATTAATCCTTTGGCAGATGAACAGCTTGCAAATGTTTTCTCCCATCCTGTAGGTGTCTCTTCACTGCTTATTTTTTCCTTTGCTTTGTAAAAGCTTCTGTAAGGCATATATTTATATACTATGAATCTAAGTTGTTTTCCAAACATGGTGATTTATAATTAATGGTAAACTAAAGAGAAAGAGTGCAGAAGATTTGTGTGTGTGTGTGTGTGTGTGTGCACACATGCATGTGTGTATGAACTCAGGTGGAAATGGAGGGCAGAGAAGCAGTGAAAAATATGTTCTAAAAGTACCAATAAAGATATAGGAAGAATCAGATTATCAGTATAACAAAAGGGTAACAATGGATCTTCATACCCTTAGTTCCCATCCTCATCTTTTGGGAAAAGATGACACTAATCTGATACCATTGCCTGACTTTGAATGGGTCAATGTTATTGGTTGATGGGTACTACTTAACTTGCTCATCTAAATGAGCAAGCTCTTTATTGCTCGTCCATCTGACTTATGCATGGCCCCAAACCATCTTGATGACTAGAGTACATCATCTCCACTCTTCTGGGACCTCTCCTTAGTTTTTAAGGAGATAGATACTTTCTGTAGACAATATCTGTTGAATGTACTCCATGTTTCATCTAATGCACTAAGTCTCAAAATAATACTAACATCTCTTCCAAACAAACTTCCTTTTCAGCTTCCATCTTTCTGTCAGTAGTATTGTGACCTTTCCAATTTCTTAAGCTAGAAAACAATGTCTTCTTAGATACATCTCTTTTTAACACTTATTTCTGCCATAAAAACCACTATTTTTTGCAACATGTCATTTATTTTTCTTATCCTTGTGCACACCCTCTGTTGGCCTTTGGACCCTCACTGGCACCTGAATATGAAGGCATGTTAGGAGGATTCAGGAGTTCAGATACACATGTCAGAGCTAGCCAATGAAAGTCATTGCATGGCAGAGCTTGAGAATAGGCACAAATCGTAATGGTGAGGATTTGACAATTGGGACTTAATAACTTGTGATTGTCTTATTATGTACTTTAGTATTCCTATTTGCAACATGGGTATGATATCAACCTCAGGAACATTTATGAGGATTCACTAGAAACAATATGTTGTCACATGGAAGGTGCTCAATAACTCAGAGAAGCTGTTTCTTCCCTGAAAGCATGGATGGAAACATGAGAAATTAAGACAAACCAGGAAGCAGTATCAGGCAAAACCCTGTAAAGGAGAGATAGCAAGAAACTGTGTGAGGTGCGCATTTCAAAGTCTAGAAGGGCGATTAAGACATAGTGATATGAGCAAAACCTTGGAATGTGCTTGTGAAGAGGGACTTGCCCTCTTGTGCTTCTGTTCCAGGACTGAAGAACATGCCCAGCTGGCCTACTGGCTAGATAGTGAGAAGAAGAGTGAGAGTGACACAGACCAGATCTGGATCCAATCTACAGCTTGAATCTAAGCTCTGCCAAGTTCAAACTAGATCTGCAAAACTCTGGCCATTTCACTGAAAATGAGAAATAACAAAGTGATTATTGCTTGATGTCACTGGATTTTGGAGTGGCATTGAT